GGTTTAGTGGAAAATTCTGCGAAACTCGTAAGTTTATTAAGAAAGGGCGAGGGCTGCATAGGATTTACTAATGGCTGACAATTGGTCAAATGTTTAATTTTCATATGGGAAAAGGTTTCCTTTTTTGATTTAACTGTTAACTGAGATGCCGTCCCATACCTGTCAGTTGAGATCGACGGACATATGATGGTTGAAATTTTCAAAATTCAGATTGCGCTCAAGTCATTGCTAGTGAAGTTAACGACAACGTTGCGTCCGTGTTGGCAGTGGCGTGCAAACGGATGCAACAACTCCCAACAGCACGGAACAACATGCAACAAGGTTAGCAAACGGACGCAACATGTAGCATCCAACAATGTTGGGGGTTGTTGGTCAACAATGTTGCGTCGGTTTGCATGTGGCAATAGATATATCGCTGTTTTCCGATCTGTATGGTGATCGCGCGATAGCCCTGTCGTGGTTCAGTGTTGTATCGCGATTGAGATAAACCTCTTCCGATTCTTTATTCACTTGCGCTACCTCTGTAAATGATATGATATCTCTTCCACCATGTCTGTTGAGAACAACAACAACGACAACACTTGTGTTCACTTACTGAATTCCAACAACAGCTCAACCGTTACTACAACTCCCTTGTTTAAGTTTCTTTCCCGTTTTTCATGATTAGGACACGTCCAAAAGGCATTTTCCATACCAATCTGAAACATTTGTTTTATGAAACGTAATACTGAAATGCTTTGTGAAGGAGTAAAAAGGTCTAAAGATCCTTCAAATGAACTGAATATCATGACGGAATCACAGAATATCGCGACGGAAATGTTGACAGCTTTAACTTCACAAGAACTACTGTCAACATTAGAAGAAAATGATTACTGAGAAACAGTTATGATTAATTTAATTGCATGAACGCGCGACAGAGTGAGTAAGTAGTAGAATGACTTGAATGACTTTAGTAGATGAATGAATGAGTGAGTAACTGGCTTGTGTTAATGAGTGAATGAACCATATAATGAGTAAGTAACTGAGTGACTTGAATACAATAATAATTGAATGTAAACGGAATGAAATTGGATGAGTTGCACTAAATAAATAGGATGAATTGAACGATTTGAATGAAATTGAATTTACTGAATGAATTGAAAGAATTGAACAAATTGCATGAATTGACTGAATTCGCACATGTCCAGTTGAATGTGAATAGTGCGGACTTGTGAAGAGACATGTTTGTGATATGGTGGTGTTACGGTTCCGCCCAACCAGCCGTATAGTATGGCAAATTTATAGGCAAAAAGACAATGGATGAGTTGATAGCCAATAGGAAAGTGGCTGACATCTTGTTCTAACCAATCACGAAAAGCTTCTTCTTACTGATAATTTATTCAACTGACTGAATATTTAATCGCAAGAAGTCTGCTACTATGTAAAAAAAAAAAAACAACAACAGCAACAACATAATTCTTATTCAGTGGTTTGTTAGAATGAGTTACTGGGAATAGAAACGGCAAAGGTTTGCTGTAATTAACCATGGCGCTAATAACCTCAAACCTGCGTTATTACCAAACACAACCTAAACTACAACTTTAATTTCCTTCGTGGGACGGACAAGCAAAGCGTTAGTGTTGACATTCTTCGAGTGCCAACCATTGAATGAGAAGAAAAAATACGTTTAGCGCGCTTCTAAATAATAAAAAAAGAAAACTTCGTTACACTGTCGCCGTTTAGCACAAAATGCCGATTGTCAGCCGTTTGAGAGGACCGTTCACTGAACTGTAGAGTTTCGTTTTCATACCGGGTTTAACGAAATCGTAAAAACTAAAAACAGCAACAGCAAAAGTAAGAACACTTTTGATCATCAGTCTAATGATACGGATACTGTATTAAGCTAATTGACACTCTATTCTTAGCTAGAAAACAGAGCTAAATAATCAACTTCTGAGGCTTACAGCGATATTTCCTTGTCAGTGTATCTATGCTAATGATGGTTTTGAATTGTTTAGAGAAGAATGACAAAGAAACAAGTGAACCACACTATAGCTTTTGTGAAAGGTTTGAAACTGTGACCACGTAGCTTTTGTTTAAAACAAACAATAACAGCGCGTAATTTAATCGTCATATCTTGGATGGGAAATATGGGAGAAGGACTTCTTAAAAAAAAGAAGAAAACAGGTGAAAAGAACGCTTATGAGCAGCAGCCACGAAATACCTTCACGAATTATCAGTGCGCAGGTCACGTACATAACCATAACACTGTAAAACGACAGCGCCCGATCCAACAACTCAACAGAACAGAAATAGAAATTTAGTCAAGAGAGATTTATTCATTAGATTGCGATAAAAACCTTTTAAAAAACTGGGGCCCGTTGTATGACGAAACGAGTGCGTCAAAGCAAAAACGTTTTAATAAAGGAGATGTCGTGGGAGCCATTACCACAAAGGCATATGGAAATTAATACTTTTTTAAACATTAATAAGTACAGATGATGACATACATATAAGAGAGAAAATTGCTTTTTATCGCTGCTTTTTGAGTAAAAAATAGCTGATAATAGCTAAGAAGTTTGATCTTGGTCTTAGTTTGTTCCCAGTCCACTGCATCACACTTTTTTTGTTCGAACGTGCTGGTATTAAGCACGCTCTACCTTTTTTCGAATGCGATTGCCCTTTCATGATCGCGATAGCCTTATCGCGGTGGCTGTTATCGAGATCGCTCAAATTAGGATCTCTCGCGATCGCGATATCTCTATCGCGGTTCCATTTTTTCTCTCTTTTTTTAAGTTTATCAGCAACACTTCTTAGCAAAACGTAGTAACTTTAACAAGTCACGAATGTCCTTTGAACACACTTATTTTCTTGGCTGATTTTTCGCGTATCTTTAATAACATACTAATATACGCTCTGCAAGATAGTGCGAGGGTGACTTTAATGATGCGTTTTTATTTTTATTTTCAAAAAGCCATTTGCCAGGAACAGTGCCTGAATGGAGGACGTTGTGTTGGACCAGACAAGTGTGCATGCCCCTACGGATTTACCGGTAACCGCTGCCAGCAAGGTAAAAGCAGATAGAATTTTTGTAAAATACTCCCATATAGATACTAAACCGAATCCTGCATCGTTGGCAGACGTCTCTCTATTGATGTAAATTTGCGCTCAAAGGAAGGTGGCGCAAAGGATGGTGGGAAGGAGAAAACGTGGTCCCTTAGGCTTCGTCACCAGTAACTCGTGAATCTGTGGAAATCAAATTGAATCAGACAATTTGAACACCTGTAAAACAGACTGCGACATAAAACGAACAACATTCAACCCACCTTAACTATAACTTGGTTAATCTACCGGGGTTTCATGACGGCTGTAATTTTCATACGTTTATTCTCTGAGGCAAAGTTGCGTGCACTTCCATCCTGTACACCGTAATTTTTAGGGAGTTATTATAACTCCAAAAATGGAGTAAAAATTTTAGGTTCAGGATAACCCCTTTTTTGGGGTTATTTTAACTCCTAATTTAACTCCGAATTTGGGGTCATTTTTACTCCTGAAAAAGAGTTCTTTTTACTCCCAGTCTTGGAGTTAAAATTACTCCGAAATGGGGTTACTTGTACTCCTTACAGGGGTTGTTTTTACTCTTTTTGGAGTTAATTTAACTCTGAAAGTGGAGTAAAAATTTTAGGTACAGGATAACTCCTTTTTGGGGGTTATTTTAACTCCTCAATATCTGGGGTCACTTTTACGCCTGAAAAAGAGTTCTTTAAACTCCTTTTTGGAGTTAAAATAACTCCACGAAAAATAACTCCACTGTAAGGAGTTAAATTAGCCCCACTAGAGGATTTATTATAACTCCCTGAAAATTACAGTGTAGAGAATTTTATTTAGGTAAGTTTTCGTAGTCTACTTTGTGGCAGCCATATTGCGTGGAAATTAGTAAGGTTAACTTTCAGTACTTCGGCACGGACGGATGGATATCGAACTATGAAGCCAGTTAGGAAAGGTAGTAGAAATTGAACGAATCGACCACCCAAAAAGTTGATTTTAAAACGAGGGATCGGACGTAGTTGCTTTGTGGAGGAGGGCGAGTAATAGACCTTTTTAGCTTGGAGATTTTATTTTCCCAATTCAGACCGCATGATGTTCTCAAGAGGATTTGCCTTTTATCGTTTATTAGTTATGCACGCATACGCACGTGGATAGCGCGACATTTGAAAGGAACAATTCTCTGGGATAACGTTACACAGTGTGCAATGGAAAAACAAAACTTACAAAGCTAAAAGGGTCTATTGTCACCTCCATGAAACCATAGTTAGTGAAGGGGACCCTGTACTAATTATGATGAAACGTTTAGATGGTGAAACTTCCAGGGAATCTTTTCTTATGCAATTTTGTAACAAGGTTACATACGATACGTTCGTTTTTTTGAGTTTTAATCCACATATGAATAAATCTACTTGAACTTTTTTCTTTTTTGCAAGATTACAGACTGGGTCCATGCTACACGGAAGTTAGGAATCGCATGTGTCATAACCAACTTCAAGGCGTAGTGTGCACACGGCTAACTTGCTGTGCCACCATTGGAAAAGCGTGGGGGAACCCGTGTGAACGATGCCCTGCCAAGCCAGGTAAGCATGCTAAAACGTTCAAATTTTTTTTGGTTTTGCAAAATTCCAGAAAACGGACTGATTCGAAGGTGAGCACTTCCAATTACAATTATCGTTTTTTTTTCAATGGCCGCATTTTGGAGCTTCGTCTTAAGTCTAACGTGTATTTGCAGACACGTTTATGCTACTGACAGCTCTCCATTTACTCTTCGTAAAAATGGCATAAAAACGGAAAGGGGATGGACCTTGGGGTGGAGCCACCCCCTATAAAGCTCTGTTGAATAACCCCCTGGGGCGGTGGTAGTTAACGTGTACGACGTGAGCGGATGTGACATTCTATATTTCTTAATCTTGAGTATTTAGTTTCTCAGCTCCAAATTTCCTGCTTAACCCTTTTCTATTTATTTTTCGTAGAGCCTTGTGACAGAGGATTTCTGCCAAACTTTCGCAGCAAGGCATGTCAAGGTAATCAAGAGTTCAGTGTAGGCTTCTGACCTTGTGGGATAATAGGTTGACAGTTGAGGGTGTAGATTGCCAGCCGCGAGATCTTGCAAAACGTTTTTAACTCCCTTTCCAAGGCAAGAAAAATTAAAGACAATAAATGGAGAAGACGAGAGAAAAAGGTAACAGGTCATTTCGCCCCAGTTTCTTAGCCCCCTATTTTCTAGTCATTTAGCACGCTTCAAATGTAATATTCCTCGCTCTTTAAGTCATAAACGAAAACAAGCAGAATATGGGGCGAAGAAATCGTGGCGAAATGACTTGGGGGCGAGATGACCTGTAACCAGAAAAAGTTGAAGAAAGAAAGGACACTGGAGAAGTCAAGGCCATCAAATGCAGAAAAATCAATTGTCTTGTGTTTTCTATGTTGGATAAGGGGAAACTAAAACTATGATAAAAATTATTTACTGGGCAAAAATTTATCCTGTTTCAGAGGAGATAAAAAGCACCCATCTGGGCCTTCTGTCGCAGAATATTTCATACCCTGATCGGCAAAATGAAGTTAATGTTCTTGTTATTAGAAGTGTCGCCTAGTTCCCTTTAATTCACCTAATGCATTATAGATATCGACGAGTGTAAAGCGATCCCAAAAATCTGTGCTGGGGGAACGTGTGTGAACACGATTGGAAGCTACCGGTGCGATTGCCCCGCTGGAAAGAAACTTAACCCCGACTCGCAGAAATGTGTTGGTAAGTCGATAGAGGTCCTTATATGTGGAATTATTTAAAATAAACAAAGATCGTGTTGATAGATAGTTAAAGTTCGACTATTTCAGTTTTCACTCTCTAAATCAGTCGATCGATCAATAATTCTAAGAAGTCAATCAGTTGATCAATTAAAAGACGTGAGCCTGAGTGAGGTAACCACTCTGAATTTTGCTGACGTGTTCTAAACTTTGCACCTCCCAACGCCTAACCCTTTCAATTTTTATAAGGACATAGAAGATGAGTTTGTTTTCTGAAACTGCGACTTTATCTGCAACAACACAGTACATGCAGGTGCAAATCGGGCACGCACCCAACTTTCAATTTGGACTAACAGGTGATCGAATGATTTAACTCAATCCGCAGTGCTTTTCTCTGCTACAACACTTGCCTACCAGTTGTGACAGTATTAATTTGCGTTATGCCAATTGACTGATTTTATTGTCTTTAGATCAAGATGAGTGTACTGAAATTCCCGGCATCTGTGCGAATGGCCGATGTGAAAACACAGAAGGAAGTTTTAGATGTATTTGTCAGGCAGGATATACCTTGAATCGAGCCAAAAGTTTCTGCATAAGTAAGTTTTCAAAGAAATGCGGTACATGTGTGGGTCGCTATCTTTCTATAATAGTCATCCTCCCATCGCTACAATGCCTTGATATATGCTATTTTCTAGGTGCTGTTCAAGGCTTCTGTTATCAGCGAGTGGTAAATAATTACTGTGTTGACCAGTCCCCCACTAACACGACCAAGTTTGACTGCTGCTGCTCAGAGAAGAAACCCGCGGGCTGGGGACCACTCTGCGAAAGATGTCCCGTCCAAGGAACACGTGAGTTGCATGTGAAACACTCGCATTTTCACATTATCATTTTGTGTTTTTCCCTTCCTCCTGCATTTCCTCCCATAATAATGTGTGCAAATTATTTTTCATCTGCAGCCGGATACTCAACCCTATGCCCAAACGTAACAGTGCCAACTGTAAATCCTGCAGGTTTGTTACACGATAAGGGACTGGTCAAAACGTATAGGGGGGTAGGCCGGAGCATTTGGAAATATGGTTGATAAAAAACACATGACCCACCCCCTCCATTCGGCACAAAAATGACTGACCCACCCCTAAAGCAAGGTTGGAAATTGCATGACCCACCCCCTAGTTAAAACATGGATTTTCGGTTTCCTCTTAATAATCCAATAAAACCTTGTTCTGTGCTTTGCAAAATTTGTTGATACACTGCTACAAGCAATATCAAAATCACAGAAATCATACCTTTCACTAAAAAGACAAATGTGAAAAACCGAACATTTCTTGTTTCAAGGGACGTTATGAGTCTTGACACAAATATACAGCAAAACGAGGGTATATTGAATTTATCTGTCACAAAGCATATGAAAATTTCAACAAAGACAACCCATTCCTACACATTACTTGCCGGAAATGCTTAGATTAATCCTCAACGAAAATTTCTTCCACTTCAGTGGAAAGCAATACCTACAAAACAATGGAACTGCAATGGGCACAAAGACAGCAGTTTGGATTCTTTTGCCAATATTTTCATGACATATATTGAAACAACAACTCTAAGCAAAACTGTCTTTAGAACAACAGTTTGGAAATGCCACGTACACGATATCTTTGCCCTATGGGACATGAGTAAACCAGACATCGAAGCCTTCATTGAACAAGCAACTTTACATCACCTAACTATTGAATTCACGGCCGAAACATTTGACACTGAGACTGCGTTTTTAGACACTGTTGTATACAAAGGCACAAGATTCAAGGAAAAATCTATCCTTGATGCAAAGACACATTTTAAACAAAGGGAAAGCTTCTTGCACACACATTTCACCTCGTGTCACCCTCCAAATGTTAAAAAAGAATTTGTCAAGGAGAAGCCTTAAGAATCCTACGAAAAAACTCCTCAGAAACAACCTTTGAGGAAAATGATTCAAATTTAAAAAAAAACTCTTGACGGACGGAGGCTACCCACAATCTTTCAGGGGCACCCAACGTCAATTTTCGGAAAATATTTGTTCGAAAGACGATTTGAGATCTAGAATTTTCGGAACATTTGTTGTAAAATTTCTTGCTTGTCTGCCCCTCCTAGGATTTTCGAACATCTAAAAAGATGGTATAATTGCCCATTTTTAACGGATTTTTACCCTAAGGTCACCTAGAATTTTCGGGAGCCTTTTTTCTGGCTGAAATTTTCGAAAAGTTAAGTTTTGATCCCTATAATTTTCGTATCACTAGACTTTCAGCTAGGAGATCCGAACAGATGAAAAATTTTTAGGGGACAAAAATATGCCTATATCTACTCTTTAAATACTAAAATACGTTTAACAATGCTATGTTTAAGTGGTTTTGAACCATATTCTCGTTGGGTGCCCCCTATCTTTGATAGAAAACCTACTATCAGAAATAAAATTCACAAAAGGGAGTCTAAACTTGTAAAACAAAACGACAAGCGGGAAAAGAAATATTGCCATTCGTGACACAATACCAGCCCTCAGTGTAGATACTATAAAGGAAGCTTGAATGAAAAAATGGAATCTTATACAAAACCAACTATACCTTCAATAAATTTTAAAAGAACCCCCAATCATTTCCTTACAAAAAAGGAAAATTGTTAACGGAACATGCTCGTTAGAGCCGAAAAAAAAAAAGGTTGACAGAGGGTTCCACGCCCGTATAGATGTGCGGCCTGTCAACCTTTGTATTTTCTCGCACAAAAGGGTTGTGAGTATTTTAGCAATAACTCCAGCTGGCTGTGTTTTATATAACAAGTGTAGTCAACTTTCTCGTTAGTAGTTAGTAAAAAATAGGGTGACCCACCCCCTGAGGGTAGCTGAAAATTGCACGACCCACCCCTTGCACAAGGCTCAAAACCTCATGACCCACCCCTCTCTGCTCCGGCCCACCCCCCCCCTATACTTTTTGACCAGTCCCTAAAGGAAGATAACATTTGTCTTTACCCCACCTTAAAGCTTTGTTCAACGTAATAACAAGGTAGTACAATTACATATGAGACCGTTAATAAGTGGTGACGTCACGGAATCTATCTCTTCGGCTTCCCCCGTCCCAGTTCATAGGCGGACAACGAATTCGTATGTTTGCACCGTAAAAGTCCAACACGATACAACAATACAAAAGAAAGCAATGGCCAAATCGTGTCGCAAACATACATAAGTAATTATATTCGCCAACAGTGTGCACCCAGAACATTCAAATGAAAGAGTTTGTAAGTTATCGAAAGCTAATACAAGGAAAAAATGACATGGTCAAAGGGTAACTTGGCGTCCGGTATTCCCTGGGTTAAGAACTTGCATTGACCTGGGACTGTAATGTGTTTTTCAGAATTCCCTTTGGCTATATCACTGCACGAAAAATCGGATTTACACAAATTTACTCGGTGCAAATATGGTGCAAAAAAGTGCAAACTAAGGAGTAAATCTAAGGCAAAGATAGTAAATACCGCATTTGCTTGCCAGTTTACATGGGGTTGTAAATTTGAGGGCCAATGCGGTATTTACCATCTTTGCCTTATGTTTAACCTAAGTTTACACTTTTTTGCACCAAATTTGCACTGAGTAAATTTGATGTAAATCAAATTTTTCGTGCAGTGTATGTTTATTTTTTTTTATTGGAAGATCAGTCCGAATAGCTAGTTGTATGTGGTTGGGCGTCCGTCAACAGCGTGGACTGTCTTAATAACCGCTGTAGATTATTTTATTAAAATGATTTATTTACACCTGAAATATTGCTAATTTTCTTTCGAAAGCTTTAGTTAACGAGTGCCAAAGTGGTAGGAACCCGTGTCCTAACGGAAGATGCCAAAACACTTCTAGTGGTTTCCGTTGTGTGTGCAACGCAGGATATGTGTTGGGACGAAACAACCAATGTACAGGTAAATAAACCATTTTTAATTATTTAATTGGGTTGATTGGGGTGGGATGTAATCGAATGGGGCCAAGGGCTTGGCGCGGAAGAAGGAATCACCACTGTACCTTAGAATATCGACTTGTCTCATAAAATGTGTTTCTAAATCTTAGAAAATTGTCTCTGGATATCCTAGTCTTTACCTTTAAAGATACTCTCTTAGCTTATGCATAGTCCGGCACGGAAAAGTAATCATTAAAAAGGAAAATTGGACGGGTCGGGATTTCGTCCTGCCTTCTCCCCACGCAGGCTAGCTTACGAATGCTTGTCCTTCTGCCTCCCCTCTTGCCAATCACGGGTAAATATGTTAACTGCTGTATCACTGCCAACAAACTTGTTGCCTGAACTCAACACTAATTTACTAAAGATAATTACTACTTTTTGCTGCCTCCCTTCTTGAACTCGCTTATAAAAATAAGTACAGTTGGACCTCCATGTGCGACTACCTGTGATAAGTGACCTCCTTCCGAATATTCCAATTTAAAACACAATACAGTTGATCACCGTAGAATGCCCAGATTTAGTTGTCAGCGGCTAGGAAAAAAGCTGACTTATCTACTTATTCAAAGGGAATTTATTGCCTAGAATTTCTGTCTTCCAGTACGAGCCGCGTTTTGTTACTAAGCTCTCTAAGTTGCATAATGTTTACAGCTAAAGTATAGATTAGTGCGATCGATAAGACTGAGGGATCAGAGCATGTGTCAGCAACTGGTCGCGTACAAGAAGATGAAACAATGGAAAATCGTTAAGCCATCCAGCTAAAAAGCGGGTACGGTCACTTAAGAGAGTTAGTCGTTGACATGATGTTCCACGCCTAGGGCTTTGGTCGGCAGGGTTTGAATTTAGTGATCGCTTATGGAAGGTGCTCACGCATATAGGTCCAACTGTGGTTGAAATTAAACCATCCTAACCGACCACCTCTTGTATGACCGACTACCAAACATTCACATTTGGAGCGGTCGCTGACGGGAGCAGGGAGGGCAAGCCTTCGCACGTTTTGGAAAAGCGAATGAGGTAAAGTTACCTTCTTAAACGATGTTCATGTCTCCTTTATCTGCTAGATAAAGACGAATGTTCAGCGGATTCCAGTCTGTGTAGGAATGGTCGATGCATCAACACAGACGGCAGCTTTCGGTGCGAGTGCAACTCTGGCTTCCTGGTCACCTCGGATAGAAAAGGCTGTATAGGTTGGTGTTCATGTTGCTGATATTATGCTGGAGCAAACTTTAGCTTCATCTCAAGTTTTTCAACCTAAGTGAAAAGACAAGTATGCTGGGTGACTCCCCTCCCTTTTGTTGTGAATCTTTATTTCATCTCTAAAATATTTTATTGTACATGTGCCTGATACAAATTTAATCGCAAATTAGCTATGGCTTGAGAAAACAGCCGACATTTCGTGACGCTACCATGAATGCTTTCCCTTGGAAATAACATCTGAGGAACGAGAACAGAATTCCATACTGATGGGCAGAGCGATTTTCCTATGACCTTGAAAAATGGTTTCGGGTAGGGAAAGGACCATTAATGTTTTTGACGGCGGAGGGGGGGTGGGTTGGAAAATTTTGAGATAGATTTAATGGAGAGGCTGTAAACACTGAAATAAATTGTATGTAAGTAAAAAATAAAAGGTTTGCGGGAAGACGATCCGTCCCTAAGTGTTCGTTATTTGTTTTATCAGTCAATGGATGAAAAGATCAAAACATGGACTCTTCGTTTCTCCGCCAAAGAAAACCCTAATATGGAGAAGGCATAGTTCGATTGGTCAATCGTGTTGCATTCGTGTCGCAGCTTTGGCTACCTTTAATTCCCATCAGGCAACTTACCGTATTTTCTCGAATTAGCGGCCCGGGCGTAAAAATTTCGGCTAAAAGAAGTGGCGCTCATCAAGTTTTTCTTTCAACGAACTGTAACTTTTTTTGGCTAAATCGTTAGTAGAAAAGTAAAGACTACATCATATTATCCAGGTCCGAACGTAACGCCAATATTAATGGTTTTCGTTTGTTAAAATAGTGGTTGGTGATCTCGCACACGGCAGTCCAATTGTACACTTTTCTCTCAGATGTATATAGGTATCCTTGTTGTAGTTGAAGTGTAACAAGTCGTAAATAAAGTGGCAATAGAAACAGGCTTTCCTTATATCCCTACTATTTAAGAATGTGAGGAGGGAGGGGATAGAGGCGCTTACCCGAGAGGGGCGCTTGTTTGATATTTTGGCCCAGGAAGTGGGCGCTGCTGTACTCGGGGGAGAGCAGTTATTCGAAGAAACATGGTATTTGACCAGAAACCTTAAGCTATTAAAGTAAGCACGGCAGCAAAGCTCTACTTTGAAATAACATCGCGATACCCATCTTCGTAATATGTTCTTTTCTAGGTTTTGATCCATGCTCTCAGCGAGGCGTCTGTGAAAATGGCAGATGCCTCAGCACAAGGAATGGCTTCACTTGTCAGTGTCGTCGTGGATTTGCTCTCAGCTCAAATAACAGAACTTGTGTAGGTAAGAAACAAGTATGTGACAATAATTATGTGGGTTCAAATAGTATTAAAAAGTAATCAATCGGTACTCTGTGGCAATACATCAATTTTCTCTTGGAGGTTTATCTACCTCGTTGGTTAGTCTATTTTACAAGGGTCGAGTTCGTGTTATACGTATTGTACAGAGGTCAACTGATTAATAATTGCTGTAGTGGGTTTCTCATGCATTTTTTCCAGATATTGATGAGTGTGAATCGCCGGGTATTTGTGCAAACGGTGATTGTGTTAACTATGCGGGCGGTTATGAGTGCTCGTGTGACCCTGGCTTCGAAGCAAGCTCTGACATGCGACACTGTGTCGGTAAGTATTTTGAAGTTACCCTACTCGAGATTCATTTGCCACAAATGTTTCAATGTTTTCCGCAAGAATGCGAATAAAATAAGTAAAGGGCTCAGATGAGTGTGGAAGGGGGCTAACCGCGGCCCGTTTAGCTCAATTGGATAAGCGCTAGCTATAGTCTGCCGAGCGGGAGGTCGTGGGTTCAAACCCCTGCCGGGACAACACTAAGGGTCTTAAAAAAAACTTAGGAGATTGTGCTGCCTACAAATGGTTAAGCATTCTAGTCTTCTTGGATAAGGACAAAAAATTAACCGTTGGCCCCGTCTCACAGCTCTTTCACTGTTCAGATTCTTGTAACACGTAAAAGAACCCACACTGCTGATCGTAAAGAGTAGGGGGCGTAGACTCCGGTGGTGTGGAACACCCTTTCATGGGCTGCTTGGATAATGAAGGGGTTGATATCAATTGAGACGTAAGTCCTGTTTCATCCCCTGTCACTGTATTGAGTCACCGTGGCGAACTCAATAAAGTAACTCGATATTCATTCCAACACAAGAGATCGATGCTGTCAGTTGAAGTTGTTCTATTTCAGAAGACAAAGTATCTTTTTTCTTTCTTTCTTTCTTTTTTTTCTTTTCTTATCCAGTTTTTTCATTTTCTTCATTTGGGCATGGTAAATGTACACCGCTAAGGAAATTTATCTCTCAATTGCCATTTCCTTCACGACAAAAAATCTCGTTCGTTCGAAAAATATGTAGAAGACTGTATTTGAATCTCAGCATGCATCTGAACAAGCACTTGTCCCTTATGTAAGATTACGTTCTGAAGAATATTTCTGTTTTAGACATAGACGAATGCCGACGTTTTTCCGGACGCTGCGAAAACGGCGCCTGCGTGAACAACCGTGGGTCGTACCGCTGTAGCTGTAATAAAGGATTTCAGCCCACGTTGGATCAGAATGCTTGTAAAGGTAGTCTCGTTTATAGAGGGGAAAATAATTCTTAAAGCTACTTAATAAACACTTTCAACCAATGCAGCTATAGAAAAGGTATAACTGGATTTCTACTGTACTTAAGTGGAGCATTGTAAGAGGAAAATATGCATCTGCCTGTGTATGTCTTGGTAACCTGTTTGTACTGTTTATCGATGGCCGCCTATACCTCCGCAAGTTGTTTAAAACTTTAAGCCCCTGTCATAATTTTTTTACAAGAGGCCTCAGAATGACACTCTAATGAGTAAAATCCTCAACAACTTTCGAAGGCTTGAACGTAAATGGCGTTCGACTGGTCTTGAAACTGACAGGGTAAATTATATGGAACAGTGCAATGTTGTGAATGATATGCTCTACAAGGCGAAAGAACAGCATTATTCAGTAGTTATTCAGGAAAATGCCCACGATAGTAAATTACTTTTTCGCACAGTTGATAAATTACTGCAAAGGAGTATAGACAAAAGATATCCGTCTGCGAACAGTGACCAAGAACTCGCAGATGCCTTTGCTGATTTCTTTAGTGCCAAGATTGTGCGAATTCGTGATGAGTTGCTGGTTAGAAAAGAGCAGCTGGGGGAGCGCACCATGGAGGATTCTGAGTGTACGTCATGCTTTAGCGAGTTCACAATGGTAACAGATGAAGACGTCTTAGGGTTGATTAGGGGTTCAACTATTAAGGCATGCTCACTGGATCCACTTCCAGCGAGTATCATGCGGAAATGCTATTCTAGTCTTGTCCCTATATTTAGAAGGGTCATTAATTTGTCATTGTCATCTGGATTGCTGCTCAAGGAACTTAAGGTGGCGCTGCTATCACCTATTCTTAAGAAATTAAATGCAGACTTTGAGCAGTTTAGTAATTTTCGCCCTGTATCAAATTTAAAGTTCCTGTCTAAATTGATAGAGAAAGCAGTGTTTGTGCAATTGAATAGCTATCTTGGCGAAAATGATCTACACGAGCCTCTTCAATCTGCGTACAAGATTTTTCACAGCACCGAGACTGCACTTCTCACAGTTACAAATGACATTATGCTGTCATTGGATAAGGGTGAGAATGTTTTCCTCGTTTTATTGGATCTGTCGGCAGCATTTGATACCGTTAACCATTCCTTGCTGCTGGCACGACTGCAGAAATCATTTGGTATCAGAGGAACTGTACTGCAATGGTTCGATTCTTATCTTTCTCAAAGAACTCAGTTTGTAAACATCAATGAGGCGAATTCTACGGTACGAGATCTTCCCGTGGGTGTTCCCCAAGGTTCAGTTCTTGGACCTGTTCTCTACCTTCTGTATACTGCGCCACTTGCTAAAGTGATAAGATCTTATGGCTTAGATTATCATCTATTCGCCGACGATACTCAGTTATACTTTGCATTCAAATCGGTGGATGTGGACGCTGCTAAATCGAGGGTCGAGAACTGCGTTTCTGCAATATGTCGCTGGATGGATCTCAACGAATTGAAGCTAAACCACGACAAGACGGAGGTTATGCTTATCCACTCAAAGCATCGTCCCTCTCCATCCTTTCAGTCCTTATGTGTTGGTGACGAGAGCGTGGCTGCCTCTCAGTCGGCTAGGAGTCTTGGTGTTATCTTTGATGAGCACATGTCTTTTCATGCACATGTGTCTAGCATCTGTAGATCATCATTTTATCATCTCAGGAACCTATCTAGAATTAGGAAGTATTTCACTAAAGAATCAGCAGAAGTTGCTGTTCATGCATTTGTCACATCGAAACTAGATTACTGTAATCCATTATTATACGGCCTACCTAAGTATCAGTTACAAAGATTGCAGTATGTACAAAACACGGCGGCTAGAGTTGTGTTGCAAGTGAGTAAGTTTCAGCATATCACACCTGTTTTGTGTGCGCTTCACTGGCTACCGATTCAATATCGTATTATTTTCAAGATTCTGCTCGTCGTGTATAAATCACTGAATGGGACATCGCCTAGCTATTTAGCTCAAAAACTACATTATCGTCCTCATTCTAGATCATTGAGGTCTGTTAGTAATGAACTTTTAATGCAACCTAGATCGTATACCAAGACCTACGGAGATAGAGCATTCGCTGTTCATGCACCAAGAGAATGGAACTTAATACCCTATGAAATTCGGAAGTCCAACACCATCTCGAGTTTTAAAAGATCACTTAAGACGTACTTGTTTACTAAATTCTGTGATAACGGATCATTGTTTTTATAAATTTGTATATATTGCGTTAGTTTTAATTTTTTCCCTTTTTTTATCATTATGAATATGGTTTAATAGTTGTTTTAGTTTCAATTTTTCCTTTTTTATCCATTGTAAATATATTAGGATATGGTCGTAAATTTGTAAATATTTTTCAATAATGTTGTTTACATGATTGTAAAGCGCCTTGAACATAGGATAAGAGCGCTATAGAAATAAAGTTATTATTATTATTTATTAACAACATTCTGCACTTCCATGTGAGCGTTACTTTGGCAATTACCCAACACTCTCGGGGAATACTAAAGTGCAAATTTTGCGTTTCCTCAAGTTCTTTAGTTGGTAATACTTCTTTGAGAAGGCTATAAAACTCCTTCAATCTCATCCTGAACTACCAGACACGAATGAATATTGCAATAACCGTTCCTTTTTTTTAATTTGATGATGATTTTTAGATGTTGATGAGTGTAAACAAGGTGGTGTTTGTAAGAACGGCCGCTGTGTTAACGAACTTGGAAACTTTAGATGTGTCTGTGACCGTGGATTCAGTCCCAGCGCTGATGGCAAAGCATGTGTAGGTAGGAAGCATTCAAATATTAATGATATTTCCCGCGGTTGAACCAGACCTTAACCTTTTATTACTGATGGGAAATGCTTATGTCAACTGATACTACTTAAATTTTTAGCGCTCAGAGCACTTTGCAAGTTACAAATTTGTCATGACTGACTTCAAACAATCAATGTGATTAAAGGCTGGAGTGTGTTCCTTTCCTAAATCTAACCTGACCAGTAGTTTTGTCGCACATTGTTGTTAACTGTTGATCTTGCACTGTACGGAAACCGACCAGTTAGTGAAGCTGTGTGCGATTAATTACCATCACGACTTGGCACTCGATTAAAGCAAATGTCAGCTTACGAACTGGGTGTCCGCCTCTTACGATGATCGCTGACATTGACTGTTGAAAATAAATAATTTACTAAACAGAGGCCACAAATGCGATGCTCACTTACTGGTTTTGTCTTTACGAAACTAGTTTCAAACGTCTCATTTCATCTAGTTATTTTTGTAATACAGCTGAACCCTACCGGATATAAGGAAGTATCTAGGGAATGGTAGAATGCTTTCTCTATAACGTGGGTACGCCCGTTTGTTATAACGGCTTAGTCTTCGCCCGGGTTTCACTTTATATTGCAAGCGTGCTGAAATGTGGCAATTTGTCTCTTTTCTTTAACCAGACTCAACCTTAGGTCGCTGCTACGCGAAAGTGGTTGGTGTCAAATGTTCGGAGCCACTGATGAGATTTTTAACGATATCTCAGTGCTGTTGTGGCATGGAAAATGGTGGCCAGCGAGGGTGGGATGATCCATGCACGCCCTGTCCCACAAAGGGTTCGGGTAAGTTAACCCAACACTAATTATTTTCTCAATTTACGCGGACGAGAACAATTCAGTAACTCAATCAGACCTTAACACAAATACCTGTAACCGTACCACAACCGGGGGCACGCTGTGGAATAAGTAAGTGTGATTAGTCCGATTTGATGACCGGTTGGCGCGACATTTTCAGCCAGTTACAAAGTGATGCCTTAAAAGCCTCTGTTCCATAGATCTCAGAATGCCAGAAACCAAGAGGCAGTCGAATTTTATAACATCTATTTAGGTTAAGCCCACCAATGATTCTCAAATGACGCAATTTTTCCGCAGTAAGTTATGTGAACCATGAAAAATAAAGAGAACGTCTTTTAATTCTGTGTTGTTGTTACTCACTGGATTTTTTTTCTAGCAAAATACAAGCAAGTCTGTTGCAAAGGACCAGGAATGACTTGCAGCGGAGAAGGTAGTAAATCTGTTAAATACTCCATTAAAAACTACAAAAGATCAATAGATACGCTGATAAAGGTGCTGTTATATCTCTTGAATGGCCTGCTTGTAATTTTAACTCATTCAGGTATTTATGAATATTTTACTGACGGTTTTCCGGATCCTGGTCTGCAACTCTCTGACAAAGAACTGAATACCGCATCTGAGTACTGTACCGATAGCTGATACACAGTGCCTTAATTACCGTGTCTTGCTCACCAGCGGCGGAGCTGCTTCGTGACCTGCTATTCTCTTCGCAACCTCGTTCCTAGGTTCTCTCTCCCTCTCTCTCTCCCTTCTTTCGTTGCCCCCAAAGAGAAAAAAATACCTCTGGCCCTCAGGGTATATCTTGCCAAAAAAAACTAAACAAACAAACAAACAGCAAACTACAACAATGACGAACACTGGAGAAGAAGGTTTGGCATGCAAACTGCTTTTACTAGACTTTTGGGCTCTTGAAATGGCAGCACCGTTAGTACTTCACGTGAAATCCATAGACATAGATAAAGCCTTTTTTGTTTTTCAGAATTATAGCCAATCAAATGCCCTCAACGTAAACCTAAGACTAAACGCTCACTTGTAAATCATAAATAGTCACAGTATACCGTAAACTTCCGATTATAAGACCCCCCCCGCCCCCATTAATTGGCCCATCTACCTGTAAACAAAAAATTACAACCGGTTATAAGCCTCCCCCCCTCTAGCTTGTATTGAAATAAATTCGACTTTTTGCGACGATCAAATTCAAAAAGTACTTTGATCAGCATTGCACAGTAGCTTGTTTCGAAACACATTTTGGATCAATTTAGGTTTCTGGGAAACTGCCCACCCACCTACCCCTCCCCTATGCCAACATTTTGCCCTAAGTGAGAAGTAAGTGTTAATGTTGACCTAGGGAAGGGGTAGGTGGGCGGTTTCCCAGAAACGTAAATTGATCCCACTTTTTTTAGTCCGGTTATAAGCCCCCCCTCCCCCCTCCCCCCCTTTCACAAGCCCTCCTAAAACCCCTTACGAAGTTGTATAAGCCCAGGGCTTATAATTGGACGTTTACGACGTATTGCACCTGTCATCGGCCCGCACTGATAATATCGTATTTCGCCTAATTACTTCAGATGTCGATGAATGCAAGAATAACGCAGGAATGAAGTCGAGTGTTTGTGTTAATGGACAGTGTCAAAACACTATGAAGGACTACATCTGTGTGTGTAATGCTGGCTTCCGCAGTGACCCCACTAAGAAACTCTGCAATGGTAAGAATGTCATTAACACGACGGGAATGGCTAAAGCAAAAAAACAAAACAAAACAAAACTTCCGCCGGTTTTCGTTTAAACTATGCGAGAGTTGCAAAGGGTTGTTTGTGGGGCTGGCCAAAGATAGGAGCGTACAAAGGCAATGATTTTTTAAGTGCACAGGAGCACCCAGCGACTGTTCGAGGGAGCAAATACTGCCTAGAAATTTCTAAAGCTTTAGAAAAGCTAAAAACTTCTCGACAACTGTTCCTTTCGTCTAAAAAGTTCGGAGGTTTTCCAACAGTTTAACTACGATTTTCGAAAGTTGTGTTTTCACATTTTAATATCAAGATATTGCGATTATTGTTTTAAAAAAAGTCTTCTAAAACTTTCGGTATAAACACAAAACGTCCCTTTAAACAGTTCCTATGAAAGCAAGGCTACTTCACGGTGTTCTGAAGGGTATAGCTAACACTTTCGGATGAGACGAAAAAACCAGCTAAATCTTTCCTGATTTATCTGAACAAAAAAATATTCTTTAGGGCAACTCCAAATTGACCAAACAGGTCTCAGACACTTCTGGCGTATTTTGAAACATTCGGTCGTTGGGTGCCCCTGGGTGTAGAAAGAGTTCCACGCAGCTGCTTTTGTCCTAACGTTTTTTCGATATCCCGTTTCCTGCTGGGAAGTCATATAGCATTTTTGGAATCTTAGTAATATATTTTACATATTACGACTTTTCTTTAGATATTGACGAGTGCCGCGAAGACCCCCGCCTCTGTCAAGGAGGAATCTGTCAAAATGTACCAGGAACGTTCTCCTGTGATTGTCCAAAAGGGTATTCTCTGAATACGGAATCAAGAAGCTGTGAAGGTAAATAGGATCAAAATGTTTCTATGGAAATTTTATGGTTCCGAATTGTTTTAGAGAAACGGGAGCCGATCCGTTACATTAGTGCCGTTGATTTACCTTGGAGGTCTTATTGCCCTGTTTCCAAATTTGAGTTATCTCGTAACAGCTATTTGCGTAGAATTATTCAGATCAACCCTTCAGATTTAGCTAGATTTATTTTTTTGAGAGCTAAGCAGTCACAGGTTCCATGGATCCTGCGAATAAGCTCCTTACATGAGCATATCAAGGAGTTATCAAAATACTAAAGTGCTTGAAAATTCCATAGGTACGATGCATATCTCCCTGATGAGCCGGTTGTGGTAATAGTGAACTAACGCAACAGTACGGGAGAGGAAAGAAGACAGCAAACCTTGTGTGACAAGCGTGACACTAATTTTGTTTGAAACAACTTTTCGCCAAACTTCATTTTCCTTTAAACAGAACCAGATCACGACAAAACACGCTCGTAATAGCCCTGTCACGTTTGTCACACACAAGTGTTTTGCCGTCTTCTTTCCTCTCCCGTCCTGTTGCGTAAACTCACGAATATCGTTCTGGGTGGTAGTGGAGTTGTGCACCACCTGTGCCCCTATGTCTGTGTTCTGTTAGAAAACATCACTGCCTATCAAATTATCATGTTCTTATGAAGCCTCGTTTCCATTCAAAGGCTAGGTTGCTCATTGATCATACAACTGTGAATTGGCCTTAAGCAGCATTCAGATTAACATTTAAAAAATGGGCATTTTTGTCACATTCAGGTTAGATTTAGGTAGTTATTAATGAAAGTCAGCACTAACGTTCTTTTCTCCTCCAGATATTAACGAGTGTTCAATTAAGGGTCAGTGTGTCGACGGAACTTGTATCAATGCCCTTGGGAGTTTCCGATGCCAATGCCCCCCTAACTACAAGCTGGACTCTACAGGCAGAATTTGTAAAGGTAGTTCAAACGTAAAGTTGAAAAAGCTAAATTTTGTACTTAACTTGCACAACTTTCTTTGGTAACCCTCTCCTTATCCAGAAAGCAGTTATATACCAGTCATTGTTTATCAGAACCTTTTCTCCGTTAGCAATAGCGGAAATAGGAGAGAAGCCCTTTGGTGCGAGGGCCTCCATCTATATTTTGCGGTTATAGCCATATGTCTTGTCAAATTCCAGCTAAAACGTTCCTGATCTAATCCCGTTGGCCTCCACTTTTCTGAAAGTCTTTGGGACAGATGCCCAAATCTTTCTTTCTGAGACATATCTTTGCTGTTGCTTAAGTACAATGTCCTATCATTATGGAACACTACTCACGATACGCCCGAAATTAAGGGAGCCTCGTGAAATTGGCAAATGGATCTGCCACTAGCACTAGGGAACTTTGGTAGGTATTTGTGACGTTAATCATGGAACTATTACCCTTTAGCAATGAGGTTGGCGACGGCAACGAGAACGTTAAAAAGCTTGTGAGTAAAACAAGAACTCCACACGCGCATCGCGCTTTTTTGTTCATTTCTTTGCCACCACTGCATGACTATAACATGAAATTCCCTGACCGACAGTTTTATGGAATACGTAAACACACCACGGCGAAGTTTTCTCTCTCCTTCTATTAACCTTGGACTGGATCCTCAAGAATTCAAGTCCAGGGAAATTCATCTACATTCGATATTTAAAAAAACGCGATTTACCATGTCACTACCGTCCCCTTCGTCATGGCTAAATATCCCTATTGGCTATCTTTCTCGTAACATCCTCACAGTGAAATACCAGTTGTAAGTCTTAAAGACTTTCAAAAATGGGCCTTCGTAAAAAAATATATTTCTTGGAAAGATTATTTGCTTTATAAAACAGTTAGATTATTTTCATGTCGTTTTTTCACAGACACAAGAACCGCTAAGTGTTGGACTAAAATAACCAATAATCGTTGCGAAGAAGCGATAAATGGCGCTGTTTCTTTAGAAACTTGCTGCAACACTGTAGGTAAAGGCTGGGGAAGTCCGTGTACAGAATGCCCAGCGAAAACGGGAGGTATGTTGCTTTCACTTGAGTTAAGAGTTTTTTTCTTTTTCTTTTGAGGTTGATCAAGCTAAGGGACTTGTCAGAAATTAGCAGGGGGGGGAGGGGAGGGTGGGAATTTTAAATTTGGGTTCGGAAATGAGGTGACCCATCCCTGCAATGGGAGTGAAATTTTCTAACCCTCCCCTTGACCTTGGCCTAAAATATCATGACCCTCCGCCTCTTGTATAAATGATAAAATCTAGTTCTTGCAATGCACTAGGGTGAGTCAGTATTATGAAAGCTCAAAATATATTTCTAATCCGTTCTTTGTAATGCCATATACATACATTTTAGATGACAGCATTAAGCTGAGTCTGACTGATTCTGACAGCTGATCACTCCACTCTCCTATTTCTCCCAGGTGTTTTTTTACAAAATAAAGAACTTTTTTTTTTCTTCAGTGGGTGAACCTCTACATGATCACGGACACATATTTGCATGACCCTCCCCCTTTTAACAGCCCATTTTTCATGACCCCTCCCTTTTCTGCAGTCTCAAAAAGTTGTGACCCTCCCTCTGTTTCCACCCCCCTCCCCCCCTGCTAATTTCTGACCAGTCCCTAAGATGCTTTGTTATTGTTGTTGTTGTTGTCGGTTTTTTTTTTTTTTTTGCTTTCGTTAAGTTTGTCATTGAAAACAAGAGTTTTTTTATTGTTATTCTTTTCTGTTCAGATGAGCGTTGTGCTCTAGGATACGCCATACAAGATGAACCTAACTGTACAGGTACGGAAATTTTATCAAAAGTTAGTACAGCTTGCGTTGTCAGAATCTCATCTCAGAGAATATATGACACTGAAAACCCGTTACTTTGGATCTATAGAGAGAACTTGTTCGCACTTCTGTTGTAGCTAATATCTTTGCGGATCCATGCTTAATCGCGCTTTGCTGCTGTAACACTATGAAAACGGATGTGCTCAGAACTTGCAAAGTTTTAAGTTTCATTCTATTGCGTGATTAGATGTTGATATAGATGAAATTCTGTTTGGAACAAAGAATTCTATGTCCATGGAAACCGCCGTTTCTCAGAAACCAGCTAAAAATGAAACTTTAACTAAACGAACCAGTAGTCTCTGACACTTTTTTTTTATTATGAAGTCTATATAGAGAGAGAAACGCCGTGAGTCAAAACACCCGCTTCAAGCTTCCTTTACTTGTAAACGATCTATATTAAAGTAGCTAAGTTGATTATCATCGCTTACGATGTAGTTTTACATTTTGTGACCACTACTCCGCATGAAACGATTTTTCTAAAAAGCCTTATCAATGGCCGTTTTCATACTAGAAACGTTTTTCCGTCAAAATTGACGGAAAAACAGAAGGATAAAGTCAGGCGGATTGTCCATCCAAAATTAACCCTTAATTTTGGATGGACAATCCGCCTGACTTTGTCCATCCGTTTTATCTGTTGGATAATTCGCGCCTGAGACAGATACTGATACGTCTTAATTTGAAAATGGAGCGGCAGTATCTGTCTCAGGCGCGAATTATCCAACAGATAACCCGTCTCAGACTGATGATCCGTCTCTAGTGTGAATACGGCCTTTAGCCCTTGATTCAGGAGGGGGCAAAGTATATAAACTATACTTCAGTGAATGATTTTTCATTGTAGATATTGACGAATGCACTCAGTTTCCTAGTTTGTGTAAAAATGGAATCTGTCGCAACACTCTGGGCAGCTTTGCTTGTGAATGTTCTGCGGGACTAACTTTAGATGCAGCAGAAAGAAGCTGCCTCGGTAAGCTCTCTCACTCTGTGCATGGCATATATATGTACTTTTAAATTGTCATTAAATACTTTTACTCAAACAAAACTGTTATTTAACGTTAATAGAACTAGTAAAATTTGGCCGCTGATAAGTTTTGTTTAGTTCAACTTTCGACACAAGAGCACAAGTTATATGCTTTTATGTCGTATCATTTTAAAAAGTTTAATCATACTATCCATGCTATCCATTCATTCATTTTTCGTTCTTCCGTTCATTTATTTCTTCATTTATTCATTCAGTTAGTCCTTCATTCATTCAGTCAGACATTCAGTCACGTATAACATGCACGAATGGGTTGAACTCAGTTTGCAACAAAATAATGGGATGAATAAAAGCTCGCAAAAGGGGCCTCAAGGCCTCTCTTGTTTCTCCTGGAATCAGAAACTGTGTTTCGCTGGCAGGACATAAGCGAAAGTTCCCTGGTTGATTTGTAAATGAGTCGACCGACATTTTTTTCTCAAGAGGGCAACTAAAGACAGTAATTCTGACAACTGTTGTTGTTAGTTTCAGTTCACGCTATTTATTCTTTGTTTTAATGCAGATCTTCGTGAAGAAGTATGTTATGGTACAGTGAGCTCCAGCGGTTGTGGCAGCCCTTATGGCGGTCGGTATAAGAAGGTGGACTGCTGTTGTTCTGTGGTGGGCAGTGGCTGGGGAAATCCCTGTCAAGAATGCCCTCTGGCAAACACAGGTAAAGTGAAATGAAAACTGCGAAGTTAGTTGTTTAGGCCATCAAGCAATTTCAATTTATTTTTAAAAAATTTTTATTTTCATTGTAGACGAATTTGAGGCGCTCTGTGGTGATAGAAACAAAGGATACAAGACTGTGGAGACCTTAACTGGACCACGAGTGCAAGGTTTGTATTAAGTTAAAGGAGCTGTGTTACGAAATTCAGCCAAATAAGGATATTATAAAATGCAAGTCAAATTAAGAGAAACATAAAAATAACCGTTTAAAAATTTAAAGGAAGGTCAAAATAACATAACAGAAACAACAGATGCCACGGATGGGCAAAACTGAATAAGGGGACTGAAACGGATTGAAATTAGGGTTTTTGAAAACTGTTCAGCCTAACAGTTCTCAAAGTTGATCCCTGCTGCTTGCAACTTCAAAAATAATGCTCAGGAGACATTGTTGTTTGTCTCGGATCTCTGATTTTGTCAGTTACATGTAATTTCTTTGCTTACTTTAAATTCCATAGCGATTGAGGGCGAGTAATTGGCAAAATTCAGTAAACAAAATGAACTGGACTGTCGTGACACAGCCCCTTTAACGATACGCGTCTTTAATACATGATTGGCTGGCGAGCGGGCAACATGGAGCTAGCCCCTTGTTCTTATTGGCCACGCGAGCAGACAAGAAAGCCTGTTTTGTTCACTTGGAATTGTACGCTTTTTCTCCTGAAAATTTTATCATCTAGCCATTGAAAAAAAAATTACCTATTGGCAAAGCATTTTCGGTCTTGATCTCGTTCTTTGACCTTGACTGGACCACGAGTGCAAGGTTTGTATTAAGTTAACGATACGCGTATTTAATACATGATTGCCTGGCGAGCGGGCAACATGGAGCTAGCCCCGTGTTCTTATTGGCCACGCGAGCAGACAAGAAAGCCTGTTTTGTTCACTTGGAATTGTACGCTTTTTCCCCTGAAAATTTTATCACCTAGCCAGTGAAAAATAATTATCTATTGGCAAAGTATTTTCGCTGTGAACTCTTCTAGTCCTCAGTGGAGCTCAACTGGCCAGTGGACATATTAATTATTGCGGCTTCGTTAGCTCTAATACCTGTTATTTGACCTTTTTGTCTCTAATGTTGTCTTGTGTTTTTTTTTCTCTCGTTAGACATTAACGAGTGTGCTATGCAGGGTATCTGTGACAACGGTCGGTGCGTTAATTCACAGGGAGGATTTAAGTGCGAGTGTAACCAGGGATATGCCTTGGATGGTGAAGGAAAGAACTGCTTAGGTAGGAGAAAAAGGAATAAATTCTTATTATTTATGGCTGGAGGTTTATTCTTATTCTTCTTAATTCAGACGACGAATAGATCGAAGAGAATACACAAAATCACTTCAGTATGAAAGAAAGCATCGTAAAGACTTATAGTTGCGCAGAATTCTCCTTTCCCACTTGTTGAAGGGAAAGATACTGGATTTCGTGTATGTGTATGATTTAAGTTTCTTTCCGATTTTTGTTTTATAACAGGGTTTAGCTTTTAAACATTCATAGCACGTCTAAACTGTTAATTTACCCTTTTGAGCTAAATTGTGCGGCAATAATTAATCAGGTACTGAACAATCATAACTCAATAAACTGCTGTTTTAGTTTAGATGTCAAAAAATGCTGAGTTACCTAGGCACGATGCCGTGGCAATTCCCTGCGATTGACTCATTATAGTTTTCTTTTATGCATTTTTCCGCTCAGTTATTTAATGGGGGTCCATATTGTTTGACTGTTCATCGACATGTAGCTATACGATGTATTGAGATACAAGTACATCGTTATTGATCACTTCGTTATTTCGTTCTTTATTTCTTTCTTTATTTCTTTCGTTATTTTTCCATGAACCCTATTTTTACTTCTAGATATCGACGAATGCCGCATTTCATCTGAGTTATGTGGCAATGGAACGTGCAACAATATTGCCGGTAGTTTCCGCTGTGATTGTTTTACGGGATTTGAGAATGCCGCCATGATGATGGAGGTTTGCGTTGGTAGGTCAAAGTTTATTTCCTACGGTTGGCTGAAAGAATGAAGGGTTAATTAAAAAAAAAACAAGTCTCCCATCCATCAGAAGAATACCAAGCCTCTTGTGGATGAAAAACAACTCGTTTACCAGCTTCTTTACTTCTTATTTCTTCAACTATTAAATGTTAGTATATTTAGGGCCTTAGCTAGCAAGAGGCAAGTGGAGGCAATTTCCTCGCTGAGATTTTGACCAAAATTAAACACAAAAAAATTTTTCGTCAAGAAAATAACCCTAGTTAAACAAGGCTGATGTTTCTGAAGAAATACGGTATGAAATTTGCTAGAAAAAAAATAAGGCTCCCTAAATTTTAAATTGTTTGGAGGTTGCCACCGGATTCCCCTAGCGGCTTGTGCCTTTGGCGTTTGAAGATCCTGCCTCCTGTGTGCAAAGATTCTGTCCACCGCCCTAGTATATACTGACCTTTCATCGTAAGAGAATAGCCTACTACCGATCACGAATCGCGGTGGATCACATGAAGAGATCAACGTTATCAAGATTTAATGCTGACGTGAAAATTCTAGCTAAGACTCAGGGCCGTTAATGTTACGCTGGCCAAAATACGTGGCTCTACCATTATAAAATGTCTCTACTTCGACTCTCTTGGGAGGAGACATTGAGAACTAAGTGAGAAGATGCCGGGCCTTAAACTATGCTCATGTTATCTGCAGATAAGGATGAGTGTGAACAGGATCCATGCGCTGATGGTACCTGTGTGAACACAGTAGGAAGCTACAAATGCATCTGTCCAAATGGAATGGAGCTCATGAAAGACGGGGTCACTTGTGAAGGTCAGTTAGCAACGGTGATGTTTCTGTAACCAACTTTAGTACGGTCCCAACTGTTATTTTTACATAATTTCTCATGCCACTGCAATGGAGCGCCATTATTAACAAAAATGAACCAAATTAGAGTAGCTGCATGCGCGAATCCCATGAACTTCAAAAAAGGATAAAAAATCTAAAACCCAAGAATTGTCTTTTAAGAATCCCTTGTGTTTTCATCATTCACTGGCGGGATCCACATATTGACTGAGCAGCGGAACTGAGGTTAGGTGGGGTAAATGAATAGGATAAGGTGCAAATTCTCTGATTGGGCTGAAACCCTCTTCCACGCGTTCAGATAGTAGAGCGCGGCGGTCAGTGGGGAGCGAGTTAAATTGTACACCGGTACTGGAAACCGGAGTGGAGGGGGGGGTGGGGTCTCCCCAGGTCTTTTTTACTTCGTGAATATTTCTACAGCGCTCTACCATCTGAACGCCTAGAATGACTTTCTCTCCACTGGCCGCCGCGCCCTATCTGAACGCCTGGAACAGGCTGATATTTTTAGCCCATGTGTGTCTCTGTGCCTATTAATATGGTGATGTTTTTTTAATCAATTGGTGAACTCAACGTCTACAGTTACAGGAAATGTTGAAACTGTTGGACAACAAAGAGTACACAGTTAACGTCCTCTTCAACCAAACAGCTGGCTGCGAGAAGCTAGGTTTCCTGCCTTCCCATAATATGCCCAACTTTCCATCCACCCTTTGAAATAAACAAATCTCGTTAATAGTCTGCTTTAAATTTCTGAGGCACACGTTGAATTGTGAGATGTTATTGTGCTTACAGACAAAGACGAATGTTCCGATCCTACCGTGTGCCTTAACGGAGTTTGTCAGAATTATCGAGGCGGATACCAGTGCTCTTGTAACCCTGGCTTCGTGGCCACAGAGAACATGACACAATGCGTAGGTAAGAATCTAGTACTAATAATTGTACCAACGTATATCTCAGTTCATATTGCATTTAAGCCCCGGTCAAACTCACAACGTTACCGCTTCAACATTCTCACAAAGTTATGGTTGTTGACATTATGCCGCGTCAAAAAGTCATGACATGTTCGCAACATACTGTGGATATTTGTGGAGAGCCGAACTTTGGACTGTTTGACAAACCTTACGAGATGCTGTGACATGTTAAAAAAGAGTTTAACTCGCCTAAATTTTGCCTCGCCTGCGTCTCAACTTTTTTGTAATCTCATAAAAATTGTGAAAGCTGATCCTCCCCCAGACCCACTCTTCCCAATTTTGTTAAACATGCGCAAAAGTAGTACATCTCTTTTTTGTGTGGGTCGATATTATCTATGCTATTTCCCACAGCACATTCTCAATATAGAACAAACGTTTCTACGATGTTAAGACCATTTAAGATGTCATGTTTGAATTTTGCGCAAAGGCAGACCTGCTTAGTTGCAATAACCTCACCCCTCTCTCCCCTCCCCTACCCAAAAAACTTTAAACTGAACCCTCTTCGTCTATTTTATTTTACACAAGAAGGTTTTATAGGCCAATTTTGTGATTGTTTACAGATATAGATGAGTGTGAGACAGATAATGGCAATTGTCAAGAACAGTGCAACAACACACTAGGATCTTATTTTTGTGAGTGTGGTGCGGGTTTCGCCCTTCAGCCTGATGAACGAACGTGTGGAGGTAAGGCGCATGCGCAGTTACTCAGCTCACAAACTACTAATCATTGTCAGAAGTTGCGTGCGAAATTTTCGCAAAGGCCTTCCTGCGTAGTTGCGATAATCTTCTCAAAAATAAACAGAAGCACGGTAAAAAGGATGGATATAAAAGACAAGAGTATAAGACGTCAGGTGGGCGAGATCATGATCTCAGTTCCGGTAATGACCCACAGAAGTTTAGAACTTCGACAACTTGGACGATCACACAAAACAGACTAAGCTTGTATGATAAATATGAGTAACTTTAGCAGCTGCTTATCTGTGCTTTTTGTAATGGATGAAAGATTTTCAGAATGGGTTTTCGATGATACTTAATGGGGGCTCGGTGTTCTCAATACCAGCGTTCTAACGGTAATCGGTATTAGAGGGCAAAACGTTGGGATATTCCCTTAAAAGGCCTTGTATCCCATCCAGCTTAGTTTTCAAGTCGGCCCGTAGTCTTGTTTGCTAACTGCAGGCTTCGTTCTGCATAAATTACATCCGCATAATCTTCATAACTACAGATATTGATGAGTGTCAGATCAGTTCGGACATCTGTGGATCAGGAAGCACTTGTGTCAATTCTAAAGGTGGTTATTACTGCGCTTGTGGGGCTGGGTACGAACCTTCAGCTGACAGGAGATCCTGCATTGGTACGTGTCAATCTAGTCATGTGGTCTTGACCACGTGACCCTTGAAAGCTTTCATGCTTTTATTAGCTTAGTTTTTTTTTATCTCACTCTAATGCTCGAACATAACAATTATGACTGATCTTTTTTAGTGAGTTTTAAGTTCCTAATCATTGCATAGAAATTGCACATAACTAGGAAAGTCGTGCGCTTTTACACCATGTCATATCGTATGAAACCAAGCCATAAATTCAATATAATTTCGTGGTGATATCTTACTTTTTAGTAAAATCCAACTAGTGATCTATTATCAATGCTGCATTCTGATTAGTTGAGCTACTACTAGGCTATATGTTATAGCCCCCTAGTAGCGAAAAGAGCGGGCTTTTTGGCGGCAAAAAAGGATTAAAGTCTAGCTTTAACTAACTAAAAAATTTTCATTCGTGGTATTTTTGACCAAATGGTTAGATTTTACTAAAACAATTATTCCTCTCGCCCTCATGGCCTCTGAATCAATAGCCCATTCGACCTTCGGCCTCGTGGGCTATTGACTCAGAACCCATTCGGGCTCGAGGAATAATTGTTAAATATTCAGTAATATTCCACAGGGCTAATTGGTTTCCCTTTCGACAGTTTGGCAAGATTAACTAAATCTTTACAGTCAAAACTTTATATATCTCTGGTTATCCTGTGATGTAGAGTTTACATTGTAAATAAATCAAATGCTGCTCCTTCTATTTTGTGATGAATACTACTGTATATATTCACGTTTCTATTCCAGATTTGGATGAATGCCAAAGAGATCCAATGCTTTGTACCAACGGCGTCTGTCGTAACTCACCTGGTTCATTTGAATGTATCTGCGGCGACGGATACGTCCTAGCTAAGGGAACTACAGCTTGTATTGGTAAGCGTAGTGAAATGCATTACGACTTGCTTGTAGACGGGGGCACCCAATGGCAGTTTTCTGTAAAATATCTGTCCAAAGGAGCAAATATAGCTTAGAAATTTTTATAGTAAAAGTAAAGCTTAAAATGTCTGGATAACCTTTCCATTCATCTAAGATATTCGGATTTTCTCTATTAGCTTCCCTACGATTTTAGCATAGAGAAATCCATTTTAGATTTTATGACTTGTCTGGAAAGATTCAAGATTCGGTCGTTGTGTGCCTCTGTCGTAAACAGTAGTTCTGATCATAGAGTTTATTTTGCAAACCCCTCAGTACTGCGGCGGATCCAGAAGTTTCAGAAAGAGGGGTCCAAGGCTTATGGAGTGCAACCGTCATAGATACTATTTATTGAGTAAAGAACTCTGATAGCCTTTGTATTCAGAAATTAAGTCAGACAAAAAAGAAAATACTTCAGAAATTAAACAAAATTTCGGTAGTTTCTTGGTGTATGTGGACGGGTACGATTTGTAAATGACGTATTACAGAAAATGAAAAAGACATTAAACAATATCTACACCATAAAACAATCCGCAACACCAAGAAACCAAAATTTCAGACAAAAAGGAATGATGGGCAAGCTACATCCACTCATATGAAGAAGGTACTTTTTTGTGTTTGTAACCCGTTGTTTCTCCTGCATGTGTGGATGAAAGGTCCTACGGTGTTAATTTTTTTTGTACACAAACATGATGCCTGTAGACTTAACATATTGACTAATACCATCCAACCGTCGCGTTAAGTGTGAAAAGATCTCCTGTCCATATAAACGTCCGGGAGTCGAATTTTGTGGGATCATTGTGAGTAGTAAATAGTGCTTTCTTACCAACGGTTCCATTTCTATAATAATCTGAAAAAATGACACTGTCTAAGTAATACATACATGTTGTTTTCTTTCGCAGATGTTGATGAGTGTTCAGTCGACCTGGCTCAGTGCGGTGAAAGTGCTTCCTGTACCAATACTGTGGGAAGCTACATTTGTAATTGTTTAGAAGGATACCTTGGAATTGGAAACCAGTGCACTGGTGAGTACAGCAACCAAGAGTGTTTGAATCATTTGTAAGACGGGGGGATTAGCCTGCGCGCAAGCTCTCACGTAATAAGACAGGGGCGTGTTTTGCTTAATCCTGACCTCCAGGTTGGCACGTACGTAGCCAACATTCGCTTGGACTTCCTTTAAAAATGAATGGAATGTATAGAACCCAATTCATCTGATCGCGCGCGTTTGAACCTTCTATCCTGTGAAAGCAAGGTACCAGTTTTGGCGCAAGAGCGATTTTACCATCAATCAGAAGCCTGAAACTCGCCTGCGCTCCCCAAACCTTTGTACATTCGCTGTTACAATGCAATCTGAATTTGAATGGCAGTTTTTGCTTTGTGTAAATAAAGACTTCTTTACGCTGCTGTAATAATTTGTGTCCTGTGCCCCACAGATATTGATGAATGTACTACAGGCGATGCTCAGTGTCACCAGAATGCTTCGTGCGTTAACACCCCAGGCTCTTTCAACTGTGCGTGCAAGCAAGGTTACACAGGCAATGGCACAGTTTGCAGAGGTAAGCTTTTTCAACACTGCGAGGCCTACAAAACAATATAATTTTGAATTAAAAAATGTTTTTGTTGTTGTTATTGTTGTTTAACAGTTTTCAAGCGGAGAACCCAGTTTTTGACGAGTCTTTTATTTTATAATTTTTTAGTTCCTGGCTAATGAAATTTCCGTGTGACAAACTAAGATAAATGTGAATTTACCTTAAATTTCATTTGAAGTCTAAGATACACTTGCTACTTTTTATTCCTTGTCTACACTAGATGGAAAAGGCGTGGCATGATCTCTGTAGATAGAAAGTCAAACAAAAATTTGTTACATCTAACCTTGACGATTTCCCTCGCTTTCGCACTCATTGATGTTGTTTGCTCTCGCATAAGCTATATGACTACGGCCTCTTTTCTCATCGACAATAAACCATGCTCTTTCAGTTAAATGATGATCTTTTTGTGCGTGTCTCTTTATATTGATTTGTAGATATCGATGAGTGCTTGGCTGATGAAAGCTTATGTGTCAACGGACAATGCACCAATATACAAGGTTCTTATGAATGCCAGTGTGAGATTGGCTACATCCCAGCCGAGGACAAAAAGAGTTGTGTAGGTAAGCCTTAAGACTGCTGGTACCTTTACATTATATCCACTGCGATCAAACGTCTGAGACGAAGGAGAGCGAGTAGGTTCGTACTGTCGACTGAGTATGTCGATTAATGTCGATTAGTTCTATAAAGTACAGTTGCTTTCAACTGTCAGAACATAAGTAATATTTAAAGCCTTGCAATTATACTAGAATTGCCCCTTGCGACCACCCCTGCTTTCACGATCACCTCGTTATTATAACTACATCCTTTAGGCCCAGAACACTGAATCATTTTTTCGTTTTTTATTATTTATTTATATTAACCCATTCGCTCCTGGAGATTTTGCCGAAAAACACGTTTTGAAGCTAGTCGAGTGGTTTTCTGGTCACTGTCGTGCTATAAAGAGCTAAAACTTACCACAAACCGGTTTACAGGTCGTACACTTGGCGGCCATCTGATCCAGACGCAAAATATCAGCTTGCGCTCGCTTTCTCTCCTCCCTTCTTTTTTCGCTTTTCTTGCCTCATTTTTTTTTTCTCTTGCTGGGCATTTAGTAGGCTTGATTTTGGTGGGAAGAGTTTTTAGGAAAGCTTTTAGGATCTTAGGATTAGGTGAAAGGAAAGGTAGGTGGGTAATGGAACAAGATTTTCATGGAGATTTTCAGGTCCTTGTCACGTGGTTTTTTGCTTGTTTCTCCGGTGTCCTTGACTAAATTGTGCTCATTCTGGTATGGTTTGAAAGATCTCTTCACTCTGCACAAGTTAGCGAAGAAAGTTGTCCTTGACCGTTAAAAGTGATGACATCACAATGGGTAGAAAGGACCTGGATCCGCACGGGCGGTTACGGGCGGTTCAGGGGCGAATGGGTTAAAACTAGAAAAAAAAAGGATGGATGCCAAAAGGGTTCCAACAGAGAAGAACCAAATTCTCATGCCAGGCTGACCCCTCCCAAAAAATATAATATAAAATACACTCATATCAGGGTGTCATCCGCAAACATTTCACTTGAGCAGGATAGAGTTTTCGGTATGTCGTTAGTATACTGTACAAAGAGTAGAGGCCCAAAAATGGAGCCCTTAGATACACCCGACATGACAGGTCCCCAATCGGAAAAAACATCTTCAATGACTACTCTTTACAGAAGGTTACGACTCGTTAATCGTTAACGCTTTCTCGCACGACTAACCGTACTTTATCAGACTTTTGTGGCCCTAAGGTAGCTGCATTAACGAGGATTCACTGTCTGTATTTCTTTGACAGTAGTAATGTCGCTGTCTCTGATGACGTTCTTTCAAGGCCATACCCGAAAATGCTCCAAAAACAATCAAACTCGTTCAAGTTGTCTTTGAAAGGGCTATTCGTGTGACGTCTCTCGCTTCTTATTTTCGCAGATATCGACGAGTGTCAAATGTTTCCGTTGTGTTATCATGGACGTTGCGTGAACATGCCAGGAATGTTCCGCTGTATTTGTGATGACGGCTTTCAGCTCGATAAACAAGGAACAAACTGCACAGGTATGTTAATGAAAATTATTCACCCAATTCACGATTAAAACTCAATAATTGTAGGGTAAGGTTTTGAGCATAATTGTTCAGCAATCTTGCATTTATTCTGTACAAAATGCACATAAAAGCGAGTTTACGAAATAGAATGGCAGCAGGAGATAATAACCTGTAGCCTGCAACTTCCATGTAAACATGTTACAGCGTTTTCACCAAGTATTTTATATCTAGAATGTATTTGGCGTGAAAGTACTTTTTCAGTCCCACAACCCAGTCAGCAAAAACTACAGACCTGAAAATGGTATTTTATTTTTTAGTTTTCCTTTTTATATCTTATACTATGAAAGCGCTCTTAGACGACGCGTAGCTTCCTTTTTTTAGCCTGGGGAGAGGAAATGCTCTGAAATGTATCTAAACGTAAACCAGTCCGCGAAAACACCTTGATAAAGGCGTGGTATTGGAATTGCTCGCTTCGGGCTTTGGGCTGCTGGTGACAGATAGAAAAAATATTCTGGGTCTTGCGTTATAGACTGAGTATTTTCTGCATATCTTTGATTGAACCTGTAAACATTGTCGCTGGTGACTCGTTTCCAGTCGTCTCTATTTGGATCGCACGCGGAGGACAGAACGCACATCACCTCTCGCTCTCCCCTTGACCACACTTCTCTCGTTAGTATTAACAAGAGACTGAGAGACGACTGGGGAGGAGTCAGATGTCGCTGGCGTTAACACCCTTTGTAAGCACAGACCTTGCATATAATGCCTCTGTACCTTGAGCGCTGTAATTAACCTTTCTTGTCCTTGCTATGGTTTTTTTTAAATATATTTTCCTCTTCGGTCTATCTTGAGATATCGACGAATGCTCTGTCACTGGCATGTGCATTAATGGTCGGTGCGTGAACGAGATGGGTACATACCGCTGTGAATGTGATGGCGATTTCATGCCTAACCCCGCAGGCTCAGGATGCATAGGTGAGCTACTGTCATTTTCTTTCGTCTTTTACCTCAACATTGAGCGGATGACATGTTTTGAACAAAAAGTTCAAATAGATTAATTGAAGTTCAGCTGTGATGTCTCTCGACATAAATTTATTCTACTGAGGGGAAAAGACAGACCCCTTGTAATGATGAAATTCGTAAGGCCATATTGCCACAAATCTGTGCATCAAAGAATCTCGGATAGTTGAAAAAAAGTACTTCACAGTTTAACCGCCGCCCGCCGTATGGCCAAGGTCACCTAGTTATTACGTATTACGGCCACGTTTTTTTTGCCCGGCATAACGGCCACAAATTTTCTTATAAAAACTCTCGTTAATGCAGTCAGCCGTTGATACGGCCAAGGGCCGCATTTTAAAATCTCAAACAGCAGAATTTTTAATAATTTTACTCTGTTAATACGGCCGCTCGTTTGAAATTTAGAAAATTAAAATGCCTGTGACATGTTAATTTCATTGACCTATTGTTTTTCGACTACAGTTTAAAATGCATTTGTGGCGGTTTAATGGCTGATTTTTTAAAACTGTTACATGTACTGAAGGGAAGTTTCAAATAGTTTTTGCATTATATTACTGCACGCGGTCACCACGTTAATACGCCAAATTTTTTTTGACCCATATTGGTGACCACATTAACGGGGTCCCACTGTATTAAAAAAAAAACAAAAAGCAATTTACAGCTCCAAAATATATGTTGTGCGATTGAATCTTGACTTGCCTTTGTTTTTAGACATGCGTAAAGCTAACTGTCATCTAAGCGTTGTGAATGATACGTGCCTGAATCCGCTGCCCTCAGCTTACCGCGCTGCCTGCTGTTGTACATCCGGAAAGGCCTGGGGAGAGCCTTGCGAGCAGTGCCCTCTAAAGGGAACGGGTAAGAGCCTGATCATGACCGTGCTCCCGTATCTTCAAGTACTGCCATAGTTAGAATTCTAGTTCACCCTCTAAAAAGATTAAGCAACAGCTTTAGCACAAAAACTTGCATTAATCACTTAAGAACGCGTTGACAAACTTTCGAACATTTCGAGTCGGCTTAAGGTTTTTACTGCATTTGGCGAGTATCTCTGTGAGAAATTCGATGCACATAGTAGCATTATATTCAAGGGAAGGGGAAAAAGTGTCCTGTTTCCAGAGCGACTTTCTGTTATCTTTGTGATACCACTGTATTACCTGGTCAATAGTACTCCACGCTTTCTAGATGGGCCTCTACTCTTGACGTGAAATTCACAACTTTAATTTCAGTCTCCTCCTCACCCCCCCCCCCCCCGCCCCATCTCCTAGCTTACCTGGCTTTCTAGCCTTTCTCTAAGGTTTAAAACGCGTTTCTGTTTTATTCGTATTTAACACTTTGATCTTTTTTCCGTTCTAGAGGAGTTCAATCGTCTTTGCCCTGGCGGAATTGGATTCGTTCCAGATCCTTACACTCTTGTTATTAAGGGTATGTCAGTCTTGTTTATTCTTGTTTCATAATCTATTAAACACTTAGAAAAGAGTTGAACATCTTTTTGAATTTTGTGTACATATTCGATTTAAAAGGCAAAGTGATAATAACTAAAACAAATGAATAAATAAATAAATAAATAAATAAATAAATAAATAAATAGAGGGGCACATTACCAGGGGGTTATAGATTTCTTTATCAACCGGGATTTTGGGCAGAATTGATACGGATTTTTTCTTGTTGTAGATGTGGATGAATGCCAGGAGCTGGCCGGAGTTTGCCGTCAGGGACGCTGTGTAAACACACTGGGTAGTTTCAACTGTTTCTGCCCTCAGGGCTTTAAGCATGACGTTACAACTGGAACATGCACTGGTAGGTTGTGTGATTGCAGATATTCCATGGTTAGCCTTTTTAAAGGTGCACTTCCATATATCATATAAAAACAAGGCATTTAAATTTACGTCATTCACCGTTTATTTTTCACATCCGACCTACCGTAGTATGCGAGTACTAATAATCTTCCATATTTTTCAGCTGAGATTTATAGTCTAATACGATTCCGGCAAAGCCGATTGGCAGCAGCTTGTTGGGAAAGGCGTATGAATTATAACAAACGTGAGTTTCGTAAAAACAAAAATGAAATATCTTATGCAACTTGTTTCTCTTTTTACAGATCTGGACGAGTGCGAAGAAATAGATTTCATCTGTGGTTTGGATGGGATCTGCATCAACAAAAATGGAACTTATGACTGTGTGTGTCCCGAGGGACAGACTCGAAACCCGAACGATGGCCGATGCGAAGGTACGTTGTACACTGAATCCAACGAAGAGGGACTGTGAGAAAGCTTGAGGCGGAAATTGTAATAATAGTGCGGAGGACGGAGGAAGGGAAGTTAATATAAGTGAACATTGTTTCAGAAGCGGATTTATACCACAAATCAGCTTTTGAGTGACCTGTTGTGTTTAGGTTATTGTCCAAACAGTCATTCCCTTTAACATAGTCGCCAGAAGGACAGAGCAAAGCTTTCTCATTACAGAGGTGTCCGTACTTCAGAGAAATGACTGTTTTGACTAGTCCCTAAACTCATTACGTCCCTTACTGGATGAAGTTTGGTATCATGCTTTGGGATGAAAACAACTGTCTAGATGTCCATATTATAGAGGTAGTCACTGTCTGTAATAGAAATGTGCCCTAGCGTGCGGTTGGACTAAATCATTTAACACTAAAAAGGTTAGAGTTTTCCTCAGCTACCTTTTTTCTAACGCTTTAAACTTCAGTAATCGATTTTCTGGTGTGTTTAGTTATAGTACCATGGCTTGATTTAGATCTTTGCCAGTAGGCTTAGTTTTCATTGAAATAATTAAGCCATTGCAATGAGATCTGTTGTGTTTCAGTTGAAGCTTTTGCCTTTGTTTAGATAAACGGCCACAGGAATGCTTCATGGTGGTCGAAGAGAGTGCCAAATCAATTCCGGATTCGAATTCAAAACCAGTTTGTAGAAATCAGTTCTCTAACAACGTGACACGGAAGGACTGTTGTTGTACAGAAGTGGGCGAGGCTTACAGAAAAGAGTGTAGTTTGTGCCCCAAGCCAGGATCAAGTAAGCTACATTCAAAGTTTTTCCGTCATCTTTGACAATCAAATGTCTTTTTTTTAAGCCACCACTCTCTAGAAGCTTGGTAGCCGCTCAGCAAATATTGCGCGCAGTGTTGCAGGCAATGTCGCACCGTGTGTTCGGTCACGTGCGATAAACTGTACTGCAGAGTTGGCATTTTCTAGAGTTAATCTCATTTCTTGGCACCAAGCGAAGGCGTTCTTTGTACGATGATTTACACGCTTGATTTACTTTAATTCATATGCGCGTCCTTACTGCCTATTCATTTGACAGCCAGTGTTAAGCGCAGAGGCTTTATTTGCCTTCTAGCGCAACGATAAGACGATGATGATGATGATAATTCGCAAAACGCCAGTGGTCTTTTCTTTACTTCAAATTTCCGCAAATTCGAAACAAGAACGAATGACGTTAAAATTGTTGTTGAGTAAGTTTTGCGAACAGGCGCCATACGGAGTTGATCTCTGTTCATTTAAAATCTTCCGACTGACTTGAATTCTTTTGTACATGCAGATCAATTCGCAGCTTTGTGCCTGGATATAGTTTTGCCGTCGGTATCAACAACATCTCCACCCACCCCTGGTCAGGCGAGAGGTAAGAATTCAGAAATACTGAGTAACATTTTCACTCCTGGTGTAAAGTAAGAACGTTGATATTAACGGAAAACAAATTAAAGGGGTGGGAGAGAACATTTGCCTCGCCCGACCCGGGCTAAGGAATGAGTCGAGCTTTGGTGATGACGCCAATTTAATTTAACCCTAATCAATACCGTAAAATGCTTTCTTTTGGTGATTGAAAAAGGCTTCTCCATAAATATAAGGCATTTCTTTGGCTTTTTGGAGAGGTTCTTTTTGAATTTCTCTATCAGTGTCCTCGTCACTGTTAAAAAGTTGAGAAGCAATTCAGAGTGTCTTTGATCTAAGCGTAATTCTTTAACTTGCATGAGCATTTTCATCAAATCGTTATATTTTTTCGTCATTTCTGTATCACCATTTGAATTTATTTGTTGCAGTTGTGAATGAATGTGAACTCTTCCCGGAGCTATGTTTATACGGTACATGTATTGACACAAGAACAAGCTATCGCTGTCAATGTCCCTTGGGTTATAAGCTTGGACGAGAAGGAAAGATGTGCAAAGGTTATCAAAGCATTTGTGCTTAGTGAACGAGTAATGTAGATTAAGATCAGCAGATGAAGCGTTACACTTAAACTGGGCACAATAAAAAGGGGAATCATCCCATGAACCCTGCAGAAGTCACGCTAGCTTAACATCAAAAAAGGAAGAAGACAAGAGAAGAGAAACTATCACAGTGAACATGATCTTCGCAGTTAAAATATTTAGTTATATCTTTATCCGCCGTTCGAAATATGATTCATTTCATATATTTCAATTCATGTCTTTTCCACAATCGGGTATATTACGAACTCAGAATGGTTTGCTCTCCAGTTGGCTTGATTAGCTCAATGTATAGCGTTGCGTCTGGATATCGCAAAGGTCAGAATTCGATTCCCGATCAAGCCTGAATTTTTTCAGGTTCTTTTTCAACCACCTAGGTTGGTCATGGTACTTTGAAGGTCTTGTTCACTTTCATATCTTTATCCGCAGTTCAAAATATAGCTCATTTCATATTATAAGAGAAACTGATGAACGCAGCGGCAACAAGTGAGCACGCAAAAAAAAGTGCAATGCGTGCCTTCAACGGAAGACAGAGACTGTGAGGTCGGGAAATGATCTTCTTTAGCCACAATCCACGGTCAATTCTGACCGACGAAAGTCTTTCAAAATAGAGGAAGATTTCTTCAGGGTGCCTGTTTTTCGAAATCGATTAAACTGGAATTGATAGGATAGTGTAAAACTGAAGAAATAAGGAAAATTGTCCCCTGCACCACAGGTGTTAGAAAAAAATACTGACGGGAAGTGAGATGGGGAAACCCGATGTTAGGCCCTCGGAGAGGGGCTGGGAAAATAACTAAAATGATCCCTCGTGCTATCTCGTTCATTGGATAGTTGGTCTTAGGAATGTTATAATACCTCAGCTGAGCTTTTTTCTTATCCTCGTAATGCTAGAAAGTCTGGAAATCAAGTTTTAGTTATTGTACATTTTTGTATGGTTCAGTTACTTAAACTTTGTACCTCTCTTGATAGATGTGGATGAGTGTAAGATGTCGCCTTGTAAGAATGGTACTTGTCTGAACACATTTGGCAGTTTTCTGTGCACTTGTCCGGAAGGATCCAAACTTGACATCACTGGTCTTGGTTGCACGGGTAAGTTTATTCTGGACAAAGCGTGTTGGACCATTTGGATGAAATCAACTGCTCTTTCACTTTAAGAACTACCACTTTCTTTCACATCATCATGATGTGAATTTTGAGCTGCCGCAAGCACTCATTAAGACTATCGACGACCCTCCAATGGGAAAAAAGTTTGAACAGGTTTCCATTTGTTCTCCTGTTCAGATACGTTCGGCATGTTTTTCCTTCCGAAAGGTATCGCTTTCACCCGAAAGACCACCGCGATGGATATTAGATGCGGCACTTTTTCGGAGGTGGGGGGAAACGCTAATTCGGCGACCACGCGCGAATAGCTATATATACAATCTTTCCTTGTTTGTTTGGTTAAAACAATGCAACAATTGCATGAGAAAAACGTAATAAAAGGAACTTATAGGAGTCTTTACCCCTTTCGATCCACACATCTGCAAAAACAGTAAAATTGCGCCACCGTCACGTCATTTTCATAGTCTGTGCTCTTATCGGCCATGGCTCTTGACCAATCAGCGCGCGAGAAATCGCTTATTTTATGGTGAAAATTAATTTTTTTCTTTGCTCCAAGATATGGACGAATGTCTTGAACCTAGCTACTGTGAACACGGTAGGTGCGAGAATTTCCTCGGCGGGTTTAACTGCAGTTGTGACAGCGGTTACATTAGATCTGACGACAAAAAGACCTGCATAGGTGAGTGGAATTTTACACCTGCGTATAAAATTGTTCAAGAACAATGCTTTTGATTATTTGTTTTAGTTTCCTGTCATCTACACTGGAAGGTTATGACCAATGTATACATTTCGTTGCTTGTAGATAAGGACGAATGTACACAGATCAGTGGTCTTTGTGGTAATGGAACATGCGTGAATACCGCAGGATCGTTTCGCTGCAGCTGTCACAACGGTTTTAGACTTGATCGACGAGGCTATTGTCGAGGTGAGAAGGTCATAATAACTGTGTGAACTGTCGTTGCTTTCGTGTTTTACAGCTTTAAACGCACATTTGTAAGCTATGCTCTTTGATGGACCAAAAGAAGTGATGACGTGGCTGTCTCCGTTCCCTAGTTGTTTTTCATTTTAAAAAAAATGCTAGTGTTCTATTGAAAATTTAAGAGCACCATCCATTAAGTGGTAGATAGCGGGTGCGTCAGCAGAAAAGATTGCGGGACTTGTAGTAGGGTAGTGTAACAATGCTTAAATGGACCTAGGTAACTGTCTAGCCTGCAACGCATGCGTATTTTGTGGTGCGAACGATGATACTATTTATGTGGCCAATGCTCTCCCGCCATCTTGGACGTTGAAACTGACAGAGAATTGGGGGAGACGAAAAAAGATTTCAATGCAAAGGTTGCCCTCCCCTCCTCCCTTAGCCTTTTAATTTGCTTCCAACCTGGAGCCCGCGATCAATGTACCTCTGCGCTTTCGTTAAAAAAATACACCTTATCTACAGGCCAGTAAAGGCCAATCAGAGTGCGGGTAGAGTTTAATCAAGAGATGATCTTTTTAATTCATTGTAGAAATCAAGACTTAAACAAAAAACTTACTTGGATTATTCGACTCTTCTTAATTTATGATAAACACGTTGTGCCTTTCCTTTCGTTTTTAGACATTGATGAGTGTTCTACGCTGGTGGGTGTTTGTCAAAACGGACGCTGTATTAACACCATAGGTGGCTACACATGTGATTGTATCCCCGGATACATTGCGACTCCTGATAAAACCAGATGCAGAGGTTAGTGTCGCTTGTAATCACGTGTCATACGGTAGAGTTTACTTCCTTTCAGTCACGAGCTGTACTTGTGTTTACTACGCGTGCATGCACTAGTTGTGCCTTCTTTGTCCTAGCGCGTAAACATCAACTTTTCCTTCCGGTATCCGGTTTCCCTTTTTTTCCTGTAGATGTCCATTCTCTTAGTTTTTCTGCGCAAACTGAACAAAACATGCCTTTAGGAGCTACGAATACAGAGAGATCAACAGAGACGCCTCTAATACAGCGTTCGTCGACGATCTGCTATTTTTTTTCCTTTCATGTCGACCTTTTGCGACTTAGTCGGTTATACTAACCATCTTTTTTAGTTGAAGAATAATCTGCATTCTTGCCACTGACTTACTATTTTTTTTCAGAGTTGAATTGTTGGAGCTGGTTACGTTAATGCTAATTACTTTTTAATTACATTATGTTTGTTAGGTCCTTAGAAAGTCAGTTGAGAATTTTTTGACTTTCAATCTTTAACGTACTTGTGTACTTCCCTTCTTCCTAGACATAAATGAATGCACAGAAGTTCCCGGATATTGTGAAAACGGCATCTGTACCAACACTATCGGCGGATCACGCTGCGAGTGCACCACGGGATACAGACTAAACCGCACGGCAGATGCATGCGTGGGTGAGAAAATTAGTTAAATCTTTTACTTTACATTTACACATCGATGGACATCTTTTCTCTGTTTTAGTGCAATCAATAGAAGGTTGATATCAATGATCTCGGGTTGAACCCTTGGGTTCAAACTTGTAAGCATTATATCCACAAATTGGAGTCAGTGCCAATCACGCAGTCCCCAAACTGACGAATCTAATCTCTAATCTGGAAAATACGGTATATGTGAAACCGTAAAGTTTTCTGAACTGGTAAATCATGGTGAAACAAAGAAATAAGAGAAACGTCTGCATCGCAGCCTGCATACGAAGGTTCCGTAACTCGATTTACTGGGAGGTGCGCGCAATTGTCCTCGCCACTGAGTAGGTTTCACTTCCCATTTCTAATGTTTGTTTGTTGGTCCTCCATTCAACCCTTCATTTTGATCTTTTTTATCCTCTAGACGTGAACGAATGTGATGAGAATCCCAACTATTGTCAATATGGAGGTCAGTGTGTGAACACACCAGGAAGCTATCGCTGCCTCTGCCAACAAGGTTACGAAGCCGGAAATGGAGGAACATACTGCATTGGTAAGGGCGTACTGTCTGTCAATAGTATATAGTATAATGTATATTTAGCGTCATTTGGGAGAAAATTTAATAAAATCGTCTTTTGGTCTGATTCAGTTTATTGGTTCGACCGGTAAATGGTAAGCATCCGGGGTTTCTCTGACGTCACACTCATAGTTGACGTGCTTCACCAAGTTTGATGAAGTATTGCTGTTTTTTTCTTAGATTGTATGAAACGTATTTCCAGAACCCGAACCCAATTTCGTCTGTACTTTAATAGCTGTACTAAGTTTGCAACAACGCTCGTAGCAATCCTAATGGGTTTCAAACAGCACACCAGTTCTGAACTGCGCAATTTTGAAGTTAATAAAAGATATAGCTGATATCATCAAAAGGTGTGATACGATTCGAAAACGAACTTTCGTTGGAAAATGTGAAATGTTTACTTCAAAAATTAATGACGTTGGAGGTGGTTAAGAATGTCCAAGGATATCTGTATATCATCGAACGCTTATCATGGCCAAGTATCGCAAATTCGCTTCAATTCATAGACCATTTTACGGTTGGATTTTTAGAAAGAAAAAACGTTTATCGAAACTAATTCATTTTCCAATTACAAACAGATTCTCGCATTGGTTTCTGCTTCGAGAAATTTGATGAGAATGGCTGCACTACTCCTAAAACTCGTCAGATGAGAAAGTCTGTGTGCTGTTGCACCATGGGAGCTGGCTGGGGTGATCCATGTGAATTGTGTCCCCAGAAAAATACATGTAAGTAGAGATTGTTACTGAGAAGACCCCCTATAGTCAGTTTAGATTGTCGTACAGGCAGCAAACATACGGCATTAGCTCAAGCCTTGGAACGACCGGTTCGCCCAAGTCTTTGCCCTCTTGACAGCTCAGGATTTTAAGCAATCTAGATACTAATACACCCCAAGTTTCCAAAAGGGGAAGGGGCGCTAAAAGATGAGCGCCGTTTTGCTCAAGATGGAGCTCATTGCAGCAAAATGGTAAGATATCATCACCCAGAAAAGCTGCACTCCTCAATGACAACGCGGTATTTTTTTATATTCTTCGATTATTCAACCAAAGTGAAACATTGGTGACCATTAAATGAAACCTCGTTCTTCTTGCTTTTCAGCTAATTTCGCCCTAATTTGTCCTAACGGAATTGGTTTTGTTATGGACAGGCATGGTGTTTCAGGTGAGATTACAGAGGACCATCGTTGCGGAGAAAGCATGTTAGATTTTTGACTCCAAATTTCTTTCCGTGATACTGTGGGTACCCCAAGGATCTGTGGGAGCAAAGGAATATGTCCAATTTGAACTGGAGAACAGGGAAGCATTGCAAAAAACCTTAGAGAACATAAAACCAAGTTTGAGGATCAAGGGAACAGAACCACTGTTACGCTTGATTGCAACAAGATGTCATATAACAGTTTTCAGTGTACTAGAGATAAATCGTTCTCGTAAAACCCTAGTCGTATGTTATATACCCTTCTTGCAGATGTGGACGAGTGTAAACATATGTCATCACTTTGCGAAAATGGAGAATGTGTCAATAATGACGGGAGCTATCGTTGTAAATGTAAGATGGGATTCAAGCTGGATGCGAGTAGAAAAAAGTGTGTTGGTAAGTTCAACAAGTTCTGCTCTCGTAAAGTAATGTTAGCGAAGTGAAATACAACAGTAAAATGCTGATTTTGTTACTGCTAATAATCTTTCCTTATCTAGATGAAGACGAGTGTTTAACGGCCGGAGTCTGTGGTAATGGTAACTGCACCAATACCGAGGGCTCTTTCCAGTGCACATGTCCCAAAGGCTACGCCCCAGGCCGCTACTCTCCACGATGTGTCGGTAAGAACTTTCTCCCAGATATCCCTGTCTCAGTATTAAATATTTTGACAATTTTATTTAGTGTTAACGTGTCTCATTTTACAGATATCGATGAATGCACCGAAAATAACGATCTCTGTGCGTTCCGCTGTGTCAATCAACCAGGAAGTTATCGCTGTATTTGTCCTCGGGGATACGAGTTGGCTGCCGACAAAGTTTACTGCAGAGGTGAGCACTTCTTCAAGCAGCGAGGATCACGCTGTACATCCCTTCTTCTCGGTCTTAAACCTTCTTTATGAGCACGCCATACTCTTCTTTCTGTACCATAATAGGTTTTAAGAAAAAGGCCTCATTCATGACGCAACATTTTACTGACAGCGAAGCTGTCAAGCACATTTTTAACTCAAATGATGAAGTGAGATGAAGAGGGGACACATCCCAATGTCGCCATGCAGAATGTTGCGGCTTGTTATTCAGTCGGCCTCAAGAACGGTAAAACATCCACATAACTTTGTTTTGTCATTTCTATAGATATTAATGAGTGTAAAAAGAACAGTCAGCTGTGTACTTTCGTTTGCAAGAATTTCATTGGTGGATACAAGTGTCGCTGCCCGAACGGCTTCAAAGGAGATGGACGGAACTGTGAAGGTGTGTGAAACGAAAACGGATTTAAATTGATCGTACAGCGTAACATCAGTACAAGCGTTTTCTTCTAACATTTTTGTGTCTTTGAAAATGAAAGAAAGTAATCAATTCATTTTTCAACTTGCAGAAAAACTTTTTTTACCATCCTGAGTAAAAATGTTTCAAATGTAAATGTCTCTCGTTTACCAAAGAAACGCTTAAGAGCTTAAGAACTCATTTACTCGTGCTCGTGTGTTCCGGATCGAATTGCAGTTTGGAATTGTTGGGTCTTGAGCAAAGCTTACCTGGACGAAATCCTCTCAAAGCAAGGGAGAGAACCTGCAACAAACTCAAACCAGATTCCAGCCCGGTTCACATCGTTGAGAGGCGTGCTCCATTTTCAGAATTAGAGACACTCGTTGATAACTTTCATGTAACTGTTAGCAAGACTATACCACTCTTTGACTATTCAAAGAAGCACTCAGTCTTATAAAAAGGGTCCCCTCCCCCCTTCCCTTTGGCTTTAAATTATGGTAAATTTTAAACAACTCTAAGTAAAATCTGCCGCCTAGAGCTTTAATTTTGTGACAGAGAATTTCAAAGAGCTTTTAACCTATAAATAACCAGTATTTATATAGCTGGCAATTCTACCATACCCCCGTTGCTGAGTTTTATGTTCCCCCCCCCCACCCCTCTTAGTAACAGTTACATTTAAGTCAGCTTAGACAATAGCTTTGCTAGCATAAGTTCCTTCGTTTCCTGATAAATAAGTGCCTTTATCAATTTTAGATATCAATGAGTGTGTTGAAAAGCAAGGAATATGTAAAAATGGCGCCTGCAGGAACCTTGCTGGAACTTACATATGTGACTGCAATTCTGGATATGAACGCAGTGCAGATGGCAAGCGGTGCGAAGGTATCAGTTAATTGAATTTATATTCCTTTGCCAGTTTTCTCAAAAGATGATATCTATAAAATGATTTGAACATTGGTCTGGGCGTTTGGGTGCATATTTTATAAAAAGTATTGTTGAAAATAAACTTTTCATTAACGGTTTTAAAAGTTACACCGTCGCTTGGCGTTCCCGAGAGTTCAGTTATAATAACGTCCAAAAGGCAAATCTGAGTTACGGTGGTTATGAGAAAAGCAGCTCGATTGAAAGAGATCTTTGATATCTTTTGATCGCGCAGATCAGAAAAACTCGTGGACCCTCGGGACCCTTCGTATCATCTACGTGATACGCGATAAAACAGGATGTTGGTGGTGCCTCTTTTGTTGTTATTGTATAGTAGGTTTCTTTTTTACTTCTTTCCCCTTTTTTAACTTACGATTGTAAAGCATTGAGCTGGTAACATGATGCCTGCAAAAACATTGCTTTTTGAGAAATAGAGTTTGTTTTATCGGAAAGGGATCGAAAAAGTCACAGATACGGGTATCGTAATTTTGATTATTAAATGTTTCTGTAATTGTTCTAAAAGATCAACCGTTTTTGCAATTCCACTCCCTTAACTCCGTCTTTGTTTCAGTGTTAATAGCTTCATGTTTGGTCCATCCAGTCATCGGTCTAGACTATCTTGACTTCTTAATGCCACTTATTTTGTAGACGCAAAAAAGGGCCTTTGCTTCGCTGTCGTCAGAAACAAAGTCTGTCAAGCTGTTACCAAGGAAATGATGCAAGTGAGAAAGAGAGACTGTTGTTGTACTGCTGGTAAAGCTTGGGGCACACGATGCGAGCTCTGTCCGAGCAGGGGAACTGGTAACGAGTTCTTTTGTCTTGAAATTTGTCTTTTTAATCGATTTATTTCTCATCTAGAGTCAAGTGTTTAATCACTCAACTTCTGTGACTTCTGAGTACGTGGGTAACATTTTACTAAAAATCCTAAAGTGTGATAGATATTAGGGGAAATTATAGTATTGGAATTTTCATTGGCTAGGTGGTTTTTATTTTCGAGTCTATTCGTCACTATAAGCTAAAAGCTACAAAATAGTACTTTCTTTATGTGCTATTTATGGTCCTGTACAAAGAGACTAAACTTTAGAGCCCGATCAACGATTCCGAGCTCGACCCCTACTCAAAACTGCAGAACTTATCGCTATCTTTTTCTTTTTTCAAAAATTGACAATTATCTTCATGTTTCATGCAATTTACGCTATTTAACTGAGTCATTATTTCTAGGATAGAGTTAAATATCGATCCCCCGATTTGTGTCCAGAGACGTGAGACCCTCTTTCAATACCTGGTAAAACGATAGTATATGGAATGCAACTTTGATTGATCTTCCTTTTACTTTTCTAAACAGATGAGTATCGTTACTTATGCCAGACGTTGGCCCGGATAGAAATAAAGATGCAAAGTAAGTATTATTGTTTAGACCAATGATATAGTTCTTGTCAGGAGGTTTTCGACGCTTAGGCAAATCTTCTTGTTGCGTTGCAGATGTGTGTGAGATGGTTCCTGGCTTATGCCTCAACGGTAAATGTATTAGCCTACCTGGGGGATACCGCTGTATGTGTAACGTGGGCTACAAACTCACCATGGACGGGAAGCGTTGCTTAGGTAAGGTGTCTTTTTCTTTTTCTCTAGTACCTCACTAAAGGGTGAGTTGAATACTGGCCTGCTATGTCCCGCTATGATTAAAGGATTTGTTTTTCTTTGGCGAACGGTACGTTGTTCGAGTGTAACATGTCTGTCTAGTGGGTAATTTTGTTTTTCGAAAGAAGCTTAGCCATAATATATTTTAGATATAGAGACCGAGCAGTACGATTAAAAAAACACTTGCCTAACGTGCAAACCATTTCTATCTTTCAAGATAGAGATGGATTACATGCAAAGACGCTTCTATTCCAAAGCGCTTGTTAAATCCAAGCAGTGATATCGATACTAATTCCTCAGCTTGTTGCACTCTCAGCATGTTGCTTTTGTGGTTAAATCTGCAGATATCGATGAATGTGCAAAAAATTCCAGCATTTGTCAGTTCACTTGCGCCAACACAGATGGTTCTTACATTTGCAGTTGCCCAGTTGGTTACGTATTGCGACCTGATAAGAGGACATGCACAGGTCTGGTATTGCTCTCAAGAAGGGTGTCCGTCTTCCGCAAAACCCCGGTCTCGGGGATCATTTCTCGAAAAGTCCCGCTAGTTAACAGACCCGAAAAGCTGTTCATTTTCATAATCATGATCTAGGTTTCAATAGTTTTGCCGATAATATGATTAAACTTTCAGTTTACAAAACAGATAAGAATTGTTTGTTAGCTAGGGCCCTCGCTTTTATTCTTTGAGTTTTAATGCAAATCTTTGATTTCGCGCCCGAAAAGTTACCGAGACTTTCGAGAAACAGGCTGTAGGCTGAAGGAGAGGCGGAGAGGGTAACCCGGATATGTTGCGGGTTAAACCTGTCTTGCATTCGTGTGTTGGTGGGAGTAAATAGTGATAAAACGCTATACATATCATAGGATATTTTTTTTATGCAGACGAGGATGAATGTGCAACAGGAAGGCACAATTGTCAGCACAACTGTGTTAATACTGCTGGCAGCTTCCGATGTGGTTGCCCTGATGGATACACGAGAAATAGAATGACATGTGTTGGTGAGTCAAGTGCCTCTTTTTATTTATCTCACGTACACTTTACTTCTAGCAATCACAGTGTCTATTGAACACCTGCGTGGATATCAAACATTGCCTTTGAAAATCACTTAAGGTCGGCGCTCTGTCATGTCTGAGGGGACAGAATTGGGAATGGTATCGGAGTCGGAATCGGAATGCTGAAAAAAGCTGACGTTCGGGTACTCGATCCGACAGTAGCATCGCTGACATGTTACAAAAATCAAGATGCTGTAAATCAACTTTCCTCTTATCTCCCCTAGAAGACAAATGGGGAAAATATATTTTCAACACATCAAGGGTATAAAGACTTTCTTTCTAGGAATTTGCAAATAACGTCATGCGAGTTGTTTAACGGGAGCTGCGATGGAGCGGAAGATCTACTTAACTTAACAAAGTATTTTCTATGATATGAAAAAGATGTAGCAGAAGAGGTCAACTCAGGTATCGATGGTTTATCGCACTGTCTGAAATAAAGTCAGTACTGTCTCTCATCTCTCGATAGACAAAGACGAATGTATGACAAACAATAACATTTGTGGCCCTGGAGTGTGCGAGAACTTGCCAGGTTCATATCGCTGCACCTGTAACCAAGGATACAAGTACGACGAGACCCTCAAGAAATGTGTAGGTCAGTTGCATATAAATTTCTTAAAGATTCTAATGTTATAACAACATTTATTAGCCTGGGACAGACTATCTATCTTTTCTTCAGAGATCGACGAGCCAGCGTATGGAAATAAAAACTGCGGGGGATTTTTTTACCCGCGGCTAGCGTAAGAGGGATTGGGAGTAACATTTACGCGAAATTACTGACTTTTTGTTGTATTCTGTATTCTCATTTACGAGTGATGGCATGAAAATACGATAAAATAAGACACCCATCCTCCAAAAATTCTTCCACTCGTCCACTTCGAGGAAAAGTATGCCAAAATATGCTATCGTGTCATACTACAAGAAACTAGTTTGAAAGGTTAGGAAAACCCGGTAATGAATGTGCCAGCTTATTCGAAGTGGAAAGATATTTGAATTAAGAAGTTACAAAGAAGGTTTCCAAATGCTCCGAAAATTACTCCTTTACTATTGTTAGAAGTCACACTAAAGCTGCAGACACACACTTTTTTTTAAATTACAGTTGAACCCCGCTATTTCGAAGTCCTTAGGGAAAAGGAAAAAAGTTCGAAATAGCGGGGTTTCGAAATAACCGGGGAAACGTAAAATTGGTAACAATGAATCATTTTTTAATAAAATACAGTACTGTATGAAGAAAGACACTGATTAAATAAAAATGCAGTAATTATATGTCGGATAAATCAGTAGACGCTGTTGCATTGTAAAATCTTTGAATGTTCTGTTCTAGCTCAAATAAAATGTAATACGTTTCCAGCTGTGCTCTTATGTACGTACTCTGTTTTTGACAAGTTCGAAATAACGGGGTTGATTTAAGGTGCAGGGAAAGAACGATGAGTTCGAAATAGCTGATAGTAAATGACTGAAAACATAAGGGTAAATCCAAGGGAATTCGATCTTCCTTCGAAATAGCGGGGACTTCGAATTAACCGAGTTCGAAATAGCGGGGTTCGACTGTAGTATAAAATGTCGGTGATATTGTGTTTCTCGATCTGCTGTTGCAGGTAACAGGCAGGTTATAGGTGGGTGCACACCTGGCATTTGCCAGTATGGATGTCAAAACATCTACGGTGGATACCGATGTGCATGTCCCCCCGGATTTACACAAGATTACTACTACAATCAGTGTGTTGGTAAGTTAAGAGAAGAGGCTTAAATTAGTAGGATGCCATCATTGCATGTTGTGCCATACATGTAGGAGTTGGCTACGGTTGGGGGGAAGGGGGGGGGGAGTGACCTCCTCTTATTTTTAAACCAAAACCGAGACCAGCGCCGAGATCTTTCGTTTCTCCCAGACTGCTCCACCTTCTCAAGGTCTGGATGCGTCACTTTACGCTGCAGTATAGTGAGGATCTCACCTCTTAATAGTTTCTGTAATTTTCTTTGCTCTGTAGGCCTACTGAATCTCTCTGTTTTGTTGTAGATATTAATGAATGCCGTAGCATTTTCCTGTGTGGACAGGCTCAGTGTAGAAACACCCTAGGCGGGTACTACTGCTCATGCCGGGCAGGATATGTTCTAAGGCCAGATGGACGATCATGCAAAGGTAATCTCAGACTTCAGATGAAAAATATGTCGACTAGCGAACGTTCTTGTATTTCTCAGCTGTAAGTGTGAATTAATAGGTAAGGCTCGCTACGCAGGTTCTAAGCTAACTAAAACTCCGTAGACTACTCTCCTCGCATATTTATCGACACATAGTTTAGTTTGAACGTTAGGAGGATAGGTTAAGAGAAAGCCAGAAACGCGAACAGATAAGGAGGAGGGGAGAAGACGGGCTTTGGTGTCACTCGCCTTCTCTTTTTCTCTCCACACCAAGCTTGTCATGTTATTTTCGATATGCCTGTTTACAGACGTCCCCGCCCCCCTCCAAAAAAAGTTAGATAAAGACACTCTGAAGGCTTTATGTCCCGCCCTGAAGGTCTCTGTTTTGTATTTCTATCCAAATCTTTCAAAACTGTAGCTCCTTATCAGTCGATACAGTATTGTAGATCATTAAGTACCACAGCTCTTATATTTCTTGACACACTGCAGTAGACGTGTCCGGGCTACGATTTGTCCTGATATTTAACGAAAGAGGTGTCGGGAACATGACACCCTCGGAAACGACACGTTTTATTATCTATTACCATGGAAAATCGTGGCCCTGTAAATTTCACTACGTTACTCATTTCAAGCAGTGATAAGCGCACGACGTAAAGTTTTTGCAGGAACACAGTGTTACAGTAGCTCTTCCCAGAGACAGACCTTGAACTACCTATCGACTTTACCTCTGTCCCAGAAGCGTTCTCGGCTTTCCACAGAGGAGGGGAAAGCCTTTGAAACTAGATCAGGTTTTGCAACTAATGGTTATTCACTAAAAAATAACTACTTTGAAATCAGTAACAATTTGTCCGTATTTCAGATATGAACGAGTGCAACCTTGGAGTGAGTCCGTGTAGCTTTGGATGTGACAACAAACAGGGTGGCTTCTCCTGTCGGTGTCCTCATGGTTATCATCCTATAGGAGGAGGGTGAGTGATCATAAGGGCCCTTAACTATCATCTTATGGGGGGGAGGGTGGAAGTGAGCGGGCTTTATCCCCAAGTATCAGATCCTTCGAGGAAGAACAAGTAGTTTTGAGGTTGCCTGGTGATCATGTTATGGAGGAAACTGAGAAGCGCTTCCTGTGGGTCTAATTCACGTTTCATATCGATCCTATTGCGAGGGTCCTGTAGTGCTGTCTATATATAATTTCCAAACCTATCAACAGTGGCTTCATCGTGTGGTGGAGGTAAATGATGGTTTGGTTTGTATATTTCTAACTATCTGTATGTAGGTAATTGAGTACCCGTTGTTTAACTTTGCACAATTCCACAGCTGAAACCATTATATTTGAGTTAAAAAAACAACAGCAACCCTTTGCGTAAGCAAACGCCGAGAGATTGTGTTCTTTGATTGAGAAACGCCATCCGAAGATGTATAAAGTGCCATCTTTAAAATTTTCAATGTAAATTATTGGTGCATTGTACTTCAGTTTATTTCTTGCACTTCCAACATTCTTAATACTATAAATTCGAAAAAAATCGAATTTCAATTTTCCTTAAATACTGAAAAACAAATAAATGTTTCTTAAAGTACTTGCAAGGAAGATTTATTTGAATGGTATCACTCAATTTATTGTCCACAGACTCTAAACAGTACATTACACGGCTCTACGTCTCGTGGCAATTAAAAGGCTTTATCTAACCACTTCTTCTTTCCGCAGGCATTGTTTGTCACCTTATGGGGAGGCCTGTTACGAGTGTGCATTGTCCAAAGGAGACAGCAAAGGAGTACCTCTTGTGGAGAGAAACGAAACAGAGAGCAAGCAAACCCAGTCCTCTGCACCGTTCCATGTTGTGCCTGCAAGCAGTGGCGGTTATGGACAGCAGCATTCTCATGGATACGGTCAGCCGCAACAAGGACATGGCCACAGGTTGCTAGGTGACCAGTCACAGTCATACAATCGACAGATCTACCCGCAAAACTGGCAGGCGTCAAGGCCACGCCAAGGCCTTCCATTGCAGCAAAATCGAGGTTTTCAATTCTCTTACAACCCCTCTCGGGGAAACAAACGAAAACGTCGGTCTGCAAGGCACCGAATGGAGAAATTTACCGTCCAAATTCCTGCCAATATTACTTCAGCTCAGCCAATCCTTAGGCTAGTACCAGTGCTCTCGGAATTCAACGGGACTTTCAATTACGTCATCGTTCACGGAAATACGAGCCTTTTCAAGGTGGAGCAACATGAAGGAATTTCTTTTCTTCATGTGAAGACTCCCATTTATCGGAAGGGGGTGTTTCGTCTGTGGATTAAAGGTGTGTTGCACGAGCGAAAAGAGAAGAAAACAGAAGTTAAGGATAAAAATGGGAAAACAAAGGTAACGAGGAAGACTGAAACTGAAAAAGGGACCAAGGAAAACCCTCATCCCTTGGGATATAACGCAGCCAAAAAGTTCTCACTTCGTCTTGTTATAAAAGCAGTGTAAGCATTTTAGTTAGCCTTGAAGTAGCATATTTCATTCTTATTATTTGCTGCGAAAGACTCGAAGCGCCCAAGCCCCTTAAGGCTGCGCTATCTAATACAAAATGCAACTCTTTTGAGAGAAGTTATTTGGTGAAACAGACAACAAGTCTCACATACAAACACATAGGGAGGTTCGGAGGGGGAACAGCTAAGTGACCAAGAATTTATCATGCTCCGCCGATGTTACACTCTGTGCTGGCCTTTATTTCTTATTTCGCCTCGTGATCCGTCTGTTATTCTCATGGTTAAAATTTATTGCATAGAATCGTCAGAAACTGCGTATTTGTAACTGGCAAATCGATTGATTTAAAGATAAATTTAAATGTAGTCAGGAAGTTAAATTCGCCCAGTATTAGTATTTAACAAGATTGTACATTCATTTTTCGTGTTCTTTTAGTATACAAAATAAAGTTTAACAAACCAACGCGTTTTAACGCTTTTTAAAAAGAAAGAAGGATGCTGCCTCCTCTTCTCATTCCTTCACGTTTGCACTGTACGGTTATCAAAGGGGAGTAGTCAATCGATAAAAATCGGTAGAAATCGATAGATGACACACTCGTTTCGTTTATCGACAGACACGGAGCTAGAACTTTGAATTAAAGGTAGAGGTGACAGCAAACGTTCATCTCGACTTCAGCTTCCTTTTTAAGCGTGTATTTTGTCTTGCACGTTGTTTTCGTCTTGTTGAAATGTTTGTTTGCTTTTTCACCGAATCCATATTTTTGACTGAAGTGCTGACTCTGCTGTCCAATGATGGTAAAGATTTTATAATCCCTTGGGATTTGCTGACACCAGTTTAAATGAAAATAAAAGAAAGATATGGGAAACCATAAAAACCGGTTTACGTTGCTAAACCAGCGAGACTGGTATTTTGCAAGTTAAGAGTGTGTCCATGAGAGGACCAGGCAGGAGGTGATAATGCTCAAATCACGGATTTCGCTTAAACTTGGCACAATTGATGGGTGTGGTGAGATATTAACCTCGACAAAAAATAAGGTCGCAATATTGAATTCCCTGGGATTTACAGGGACCCCCCCTAAAAACGACAAAATCTACTCATTTTTGCATAATTAATTAGCTGACTTTGGTTTGGCTGTTCAACAAGAAGAAAAGACAACTTCAAATCTAATCAACTTCATCATCTTCTATGTTTATCAAACTCAATGCTCAGTAATTTATTTTTACTCTCTAATTCGATCTCTTCCTATTATTTAGCCTAAAGTAAGGACATCTTCTCACTGTTTTGACCAAACCCTAAATTTAAGGTATTTTAGTGGCTAACATCTCCCATGAGCAACAACCTATGTACTTAATTCTCACATATTCTTTGAAAGACATCTTTAAGGTTATTAAATCAATCATAAAATATTTGGGCAATCTCATACTTTATCAATAATGACGTATTATGTACATCTGATTTGACGCTTATTTGTCATTTGACCAAAATTGGAAGAAACGTAACATTCGTTTTTTTAAACAAAAATAGCACAAAGTTGACGAGAAGTCACAAATCAGATGCGTCATTATCGATACTAATAGCGGAATTGTTAGAACGGGTCACCTGAGGCATGTTTTCTGTGTTATTTATGGACGTTTGGATGGATATTTTATGGAACGCTTGAGTAAACACAAGGAGCAAAAAGAGTTAGTTCAAAACTTCGATCGGTCCAACTTGTAGGTGAAACAAGACCCAACAAGGATAAAAGATAGTGAATAAATGTTACATACACGTCCCTCAGCTGCTTTAGTCCAGATTTGCTGTTCCAGTAGTTCGTCTGGTCCTTTGTGGCGTTACTTCGTGACGAGGTAATGAAATCGAAACGTCTTGAAACATTGCAGAATTAAAAGTGTCGGCTTTTCACCGAACATTCGAAGTCTTTGAAATAAGTTGTAGTCAGAAAGAGCAAAATCATTCTCAAAGGACAAGAAGGATCACTGACAATCGGTCTATATCTACAGAAAACAACCACCTGCTCGAACACCCTCCATCTTGACTTTAGACTCTCCCAAAAAGATGGAATCTGTGACGCCGGACTACCGGACTCCGGAATGCGGAATACGCTATCTATTGTTGTACGCGCCAATATCCTGTTATAACTGGTGTGTTGAAAATAGGTCGTGAAAGTCGTGTTACTTGAAATTTTGAGTTTATTCGATGTTGACATTAATTACCATGATAATAATGGTCCATAATAGCCCTTTTTGTAGTCAGACCGTGCCGTGCAATTTTTAGACAATTAATGACTTGCCACTGGGGATAATTACTTACTTAGTTGTATTTTAATCCTCGTAGTCTTACAACTATACAGGTTGGTATCTGTATCTGGGTATATTATTGACTACAAGAATATAATAATAACCGTTTATAAACGTGTTGAGGAAAAACTTCTGAGGAATACAAAAGACCCAAAAGGGGGCACTAATACATTGCAAAAAAAGTCGGCTAGACTTCTTTGGCTATAAGGAATTGAAGGTGTAAGAGACCAGTTTCTTGAACAGAGACTAATACACTATATTCACTTCTCATTTAAGCTGTCATTTGCGGATTCATACAGTAGATTAAGTTCTCTTAACGGACACTCTCGTATATAGCGAATAGCTCTACTTACGCCCTCCATCACAAAATACCGTTTCAACTTCCACACAAACTCTGGATTTTTACATTCCCGTAGGCGGCCGCGGACACTTAAAGGGTTTATCGGCGAATTAGATGTTAGCTTTGATTTAAAGCTCTCCTAAGCAGACACTCGAAAGAAATCTTATCCGCCTCTGAATGTTGTTTTTTTTTTGTTCATATCATGTCCACAGTCATGTGGCTGTTTGTCACTGTTATGAATCATTCTTATATATCCGTTTCAGAGTTACCGTTTTTTCACATACTCGTCCGGTTACACTTGAAAATACAAACTGAATTGTATGCTTTTACGTAAATTACAACAAGGCGAGAACATCAGCGTAACCATACACTAAAAAACAGTTTTTTGCTATTACCAGTGTTAATTTGTAGCTGGGAGGAGCTTCCGTAAGCGGCTATCTGACCTTTACACCACTTTTAAAGTGGCTGAATTCCACTTGCATAACTATGCTGCATATGAGATTCATTCTTGTAAGTGGCCAGATCCAGTTAAGGACACCTTTTTCTCGTCCCGAGGGCACCCTCGTACGAGAGCTTCCACTGTATTACAATTTTAGGATTTCTCTTACATTTTAACAAATTTTAACAGTCGAACCTACGTGCGACCACCCAACTTAAGTGACCACTTCCCAATAAGCGATCACTTATTCAAAACATGCACCAAATATATTATCAAGTCAAGCGCTTGTAGTTGGAACCTCCTGTAAACGAACACATCCACATCCAGTAAGCGACCGCGACCACTCAGTTTACGATGACAGTCTGATTGAGAATTTTCCATGATGCGATGGTCTGATCTCTGCTTTCCCCTATGTCCTAAGCTACTCGGAGTATGAGAGGAATTTTAGAAACAAATTAGATTTATCTATAGTATATTGTAACTTAAAAATTGCATGCAGTACATTCACTCCAAAAAGTAGATGTGTCCGCACTTTTCCTCGTTAAAGACCTCCTGCAGTTCGACTCTCGTAAAACCCAAATTTTCCTTGGGCAACCCCATGGGCATTATTTACTGGGTGTCTTCCGACCACGCACGGGCCGAAACATCAAATGTCTGTAGCTTAATTGTTGCCTCCGTCCATAATTCAACATCTGCCAGCCTCAGCACGGCACACGGCTTGGCACTAAACTGGTTTTGGTGCCCAAGAGTACGCAAAAAGGCCCTTCCGAGATCGATGTCTAGGACGAGAAAATTGACCTTACCTGGGTAGGGCGAGAAATTTGAAATCGAAGTATTACAGTTGAAGTATCTCTCGGAGGGAATGTGGGAAGGGTGTTAAACATATGGAAGCGGTTGTTTGAGAAAAATATCTAACTCAATGTGAAAGTGTGGTGTATTTTGAATTCTACTTGGGAACATTAGTGCCACAGTTAGGCTTTATAAGACCCCCAAAAGACCGTGCGAGATAAAAAAATTCACTGTTTATGACAGTCAAATCTGGTGCCAGCAGGGTAGGGCATTTATACGCAATTTGGACACTCCCCCGGGGAGAAGGGACTCCAGTATGAAAAAAAAAAAAAAAATCACGCTCACGCTTTATTTGTCTCTTTGAACTGGTCTGCACTAACATCCGGCTTCACTTCGCTGCTATTTCACGTGCAACTAAAATAGAAAAAACAGTTCTTTCCAAAACACGAAGACAAAACGACTTCTATCGCCGAGTTTGAGAAGACATGGGATCATTTATAATCATGGTCTGAATAAAGTTGCCAATAGATTTGGAATTCTAAATTATTTATCAGCATACAATAACAATAAAATAATCTCAGAGAATGTCGGAAAGTCATTTTGTTCACTGAACTCTGGCTCCTGGCTCCTGGTTCCTGACTCCCGATACGATCTTTCCGTATGGTGGCAACCGCTGCTTAAAAATGCGGGCTCCATTTAATGTCAAAGATGTCGGACGTTTGCAACGTGTGAATTGAGCTACAACAGTGGCAGAAATAATTCTTTCAATGGGTTAAGAATCGGCTTTCTACATTTCGTATTGGTTTGTCCTAAAACAACTTGATTTGGATTTTGGTGCGTAAACTGATGGCTAAGGAATTTTAGTCGTACAGCGAGTCACGACGCTGAACTACGCTGAACTGGACATCGAAGGTGGCATGAAGAACAAATCAAAGCGGGCACAAACTAGCAGCTGAGACATCTAAGAGATACGTATATGGATTTTAATGATCGTTTATATTGTTTTTAGGGCGAAATTGTTAAAGTAAGTAGAACTGTGAATTAAATCTTTGTATGTTGTTTTTACTTGAAAAGATCGCGTATATCGCTATCAAAAATCATCGTTAGCGTTTCTTGCACAACAATTTTTATGATTTTACCCTTATTAATGTTAAATCATTGTCTGATGAGTTTTTTTGTTCGATTTCTCCTCATTCAAAGGCAAACACACGAATATTGTGAGGCCCTGAATTTTGATGAAATATGCAAGAGTCGTTCAGTCACATGAACAGTTTATGTCAACACATGGAAGAAAGTGAATTGCCCAAACTTTTTATGATCTTTTTCTCAACTTAAGTGATGGCTTTAACTACTCATGCAAAAGTTATAAAGATAAGCGGTTGCTCATCAGAGATATTTGGGAATAAAATACCCTAATTTTACGCCTTACTCAAAACTTGGAAATGATGACCCAACTTAAGGGGGCTAAGAGGGGGGAAATCGAATCGGCGACTTTAAACAGTTTATTGTGCTTAAAGTCTTATGATGTCAGATTATCTCTCAGTGCATTTAAGTTCCAGGTGGCTTTTATGTTTGTTGCACTGGCATCGTAAAGTTAGC